AAAAAAAAAATAAAAGAAAAATGAATATAGGTGCTCTTGTATTTAAAAAAGAAAAAAATAGCAAATTTTTCTTTTTCGTAAATGTCTGGTTTAAAAAAAAGCCACTGAAAAAAAAGTGCCCTTAGTTTATTTTTTTAATCGTTTTTGACGAAAAAGTAAAAAAAGATTGATTTTCTACATTGAAGTAAATTTTAAAAAAAAACTAGTCTTTGAGTAAGTTTATTAAAAGGAATAAAAAAAAGTAGTGGTAGATAGAATTTATGTTTTTTAATTAAAAAAAAAAAATAATATAAAATAAGGGGAAATGGAAGTGTGTGAGAAATAATAGAACAAAAAAAAAAAAAACGAAAAAATAATATGAATGAAGTGAAATAAAAATTTAGATTTTAGGTAGATTTGTATGCATTATTTGCATATATGCGTACTTTTAAAAAAAAATGAAAAAACCAAATCTGCCTACTAAACACAAGAAAAAAAAACACAGACTGCAGACACACTATTTACTGTAAAATTTAGAAATGAGAAAAAGAAAAAAAAATGTGTGAGAGCTCTTGTACTAGAAAAACACAGACACTGTATTGGAGCATCCACGAAAAATCAGTCCTAGAGTTACTTATTATGAATGGTTTGGATATTCAAAGTGAAGAAATCAAACTTTTGATTATTAATATCGTCCCTTATTTTTGATCAATAAAAGATCTGTTTTTTGGGGATTCGATAGATTCATGTTTATTCTTTTCCTTCTTCTCCTCAGGATAATTTCAACAACAAAAAAAATTTATAATTCCTCTTATATATGCCCCATTAAAAACCTATTATAACTAGTTCCAATTTAATAGAAATCTGTTGTAATAAGTTTCAAACCTGTTAGAATGGTTTAAAACCGGTTATAACAAGTTTAAAACCTGTTAGAACGATTTAAAACCGGTTATAACAAGTTTAAAATAGATTCTAACTGATCTAAAACCGGTTACAACCAGTAAGATCTCATCTCATTAGAAACTAGTTGTAACTAGTACGAAACATGTTTGAACTTGATTAAACATATTGTAACTAGTTTCAAACATGTTATGGTAGTTTAAAACATGTTTGAACGGTTTACAACCGGTTATAACCGGTTAAAACCAGTTAGATCTCATTAGGAACTTGTTGTAACTAGTTCAAAACATGTTTTAACTGGATTAAACCTCTTGTAATTAGTTCGAAACATGTTCTGATAGTTTAAAACCCGTTATAACCTGTTCAAAACCGGTTATAATAAGTTGAAAGCCTGTTCGAACGATTTAAAACCGGTTATAACAAGTTTAAAACTGATTCTAACTGACCTAAAGCCGGTTACAACCAGTTAGATCTCATTAGAGGCTTGTTGTAACTAGTTCGAAACATGTTCAAATCGAACTAAAACTAGTTTGAACTGGTCTAAAACCAGTTGTAAGTAGTTCGAGGAAAATGATTATCAACTGATAAAAAATTGTTAGAATTAGAGAAAATCAATTTGAACGTCAAATTTCCAAAATTTTGATTGTCTGATAACATTCAGGTAGTGGACCTGCTACTACTTAAAAGTTGTAGTAAAATTTTCTAATTTCAGGTTTTCGTTCAGCAACATCTCAGCAACCATCTAGGTGGATACGAGTCCATAGAAAATAGTAGAATTGACAAGAATTTAATTTAAACGGCTTTTTATGCTAATTTCGATTGTGTGATAGCATTCGGGTAGAGGTGCTACATTTTAAAATTGCAAAGTTTTTATCAAAAAATTTTAAAACATTTATAAAGTCATTATTGAAGAATTTTATCAAATTTGTTTTAAATATTTGAATTTTTTCGAATTCTTTCAAAATATTATTAGATTTTTTTTTACGATATTATAATTTAATGCATTTATTTTAAAAAAATTTATAAAATTCATCCAAAATTCAATTATTTTCATAAATAATTAAATTTTAACAGAAATTTAATTAATTTTTTTAATTTTTATAAAAATTTTATGAAAAATTTAATTATTTTCATATATAAATAATAAAATTCATTGCACGATTTCAATTATTATTAATACAATTTTACACAAGAATTGATCAAAAAAATGTTATTATTCTTAAAAATTTAATTTCAATTCCTCGAAAAAATTAATTATTTAAAAAAAATGTTTTATTAAAATTCTTTAGAAGAATTGAATTATTTACAAAAATATTAGAATTTTTCACAGGAATTCAATTATTTTCAGACATATATTTTAATAAAATTGTTCGACAAAAATCAATTATTTTAAATACAATTTTAATTAAATTTTTTTGAAATAATTTAATTATTCTTTTCGATTTTAATAAAATTCTTTGCAAAATTCAATTATTTTCACAAATAGTAAAATTTTTTAGGAATTCAATTATTTTCAAAACTTTTCATAAAATTCTTCGCAAACAAAATTCAATTATTTAAAAAAAAAAAAATACTAAAATTCTTCACAGAAATTGAAATAATTTTGAAAAATTAAACATATTTTTTACTGGAATTCAATTGTTTTGAAAATGTTAATAAAAATCTTCTCAGCAATTCAATTATTTTTAAAAAATTAATAAAAATTCTTTTAAAAGGAATTTGAATTATTTTTGAAAATTAATTTAATTTTTCGCAAAAATTCAATTATTTTCAAAGCTTTTATTAAAATTCTTTTCAGAAATTCAATTATTTCCAAAACATTTAATAAAATTCTTCGCAGAAATTCAATTATTTTTAGAAATTAATAAAATTCTTTACAGGAATTAAATGATTTATCAAAATTAATAGAATTCTTTCCAGGAATTGAATTATTTTCAAATATTTAAATTTGATCAAAAAATGTAATTATTCTTAAAATTTTAAATTCAATTCTTTGAAAAAGTCAATTATTTAAAAAAAAAATGTTTGTTTAAAATTATTTGAATGAATTCAATTATTGACAAAATAATTAGAATTTTTCACAGGAATTCAATTATTTTCAAATATTTTAATAAAATTGTTCGAAAGAAATCAATTAATTTAAATACAATTTTAATTTAATTTTTATTGAAATAATTCAATTATTCTTTTTGATTTTGATAAAATTCTTCCTGAGAATTCAATTATTTACATAAAAAGTTCTTCGAAAGAAGTCAATATTATTAAAAGTAAATAACAAAATAATTCTTGAAAACTCAATTATTTTGAGGGACTTTAATAAAATTCTTTGCAAAATTCAATTATTTTTAAAAGTAATAAATTTCTTCTTGGAAATTCAATTATTTTAAAAAATTGTAATGAGATTTTTCAAAATAATTCAATTATTTTCAAAGAAATTTTAATAAAATTCTTTATAAAAATTTAATTAATTTCAAAAATTAAAAAAATTTGCAGAAATTCAATTATATTCAATTTGATAAAAATTCTCGTCAATATTTCAATTCTCAAATATAAATAATAAAATTATTCTCCAATATTCAATTATTTTCAAAAATTTTAATAAAATTCTTGTCAAAATTTCAATTATTTTCAAAAAGTTTTCTCAATTCATTAAATTTCAATATTATTTTAATAAACTTTTCCTAAAGAATTCAATTATTTAAAAAAGATTTTAATAAAATTCTACGCAAACATTTAATTATTTTCATAAATAATATAAAATTCATAAAAATTCAATTATTTACATTTTTTTTTGTTAATTTCTTCGCAATAATTCAATTATTTTCTGAAGTAATAAAATACTTTAGATAAATTCAATTATTTTCATAAATAACAATATTCATCACAAGAATTCAATTATTTTTAAATTCAATTATTTTCATAAAGAATAAAATGCTTTTTGGGAATTCAATTATTTTCAAAAATATTTAATGAAAAACCACATGGACATTCAATTGTCAAAATTAATTAATTAATTACATTATTGTCAAAAATTTTAATAGAATTTTTTGTAAAATTGAATTATTTTTAAAACCTTTTCGCAATTCAATTAATTTCAATATTTACTATTTTCATAAAATTTCCAAACAGAATTCAATTATTTAAAAAAATTTTTTCTTTTGTAATAATCTTCGTAAGAATTCAATTTTTTCCTTATGAATAATAAAAATAAATTGAATTTCTCAGGAATTCAATTATTTAAATTAGAATTTACACAAAAATTCGTCGAAAGAAATGAATTATTTAAAAATTAAGTAAAAGAGAAAATAAATTTAATATTTTTATCGAGAAAATTAAATTTCTTTTTTTCCCCAATAATTTTTGGCAAATAAAATTCTGCCGAAATTTCAAATATTATACTTTTGAAAAATAAAAAAAAGGACTTACATTTTTCTTCGTTGACTTTTGACGGATGCGAATATTCATAATAAGATTCTTCTCCATCTGTCCAGAGTTCTGTGGCCGAATATCACAATAAGACGAAACCAAAAAAACAAAAATAAAAGAATAGAAAAAAATTACATTGTCAAAAAAACAATTAAAGTTAACCTTAATGTTAGCGAATAACGAAATATATGGTAGAAAAATACATCTTGGTGAACAGAAACAAAATTGGGATTTAAAAAAAAAAGCAGTGGAAAAAAGTACGTGTATAAAAATTGTTATTGTGATTGCGGGAGAAGTGAAATGGAAAAATTCGTCAAAAGTTTTCACGGAGATGGGAAAAGAGAGAAAAACGAGGGAAATTGTTTGTTTTTTTGTATTAAAATACTCACTGCGCATTGTGGTGTATTTTTAACGGTTATTCCTCCAGCTGTTTGACGTCACTTCTCGGAAATATGAACCGAACTAGCAAATATATCGAGAAAAGATAAGCTTTATTAATATGTTTGCGTTCGGACTTCGGACGCAAAGACTGTGAATACAGCCTAAAGGCCAAACGCGTTTTTCGTACGCGAACCATTGTGCGTTGACCTTAATCGGAAAAAGTAATGTCAGGGTTGGGTTGCTAATAACTCCCTTGGAGCTTTCAAGAAATCAACGTTGACTATCTTGATACTGACTTTTTCATGACTTACGAAACTGTACAAAAATTCTCACTCTCTGAACCGGCTCTAACCGGCGTTTTCTCACTTGTTTTTGTTTCGTTTGTTAATTGTTAAATTTACATTTGTTTACATTTTTCCCCCTCTTGTTCCACCTCAAAAGTGAAATCCTTACTTCTGTTTCTATATTTTTCTCAATTCTTTTGTGTGTTTAAAGAAAAAGTCTTTTTTCTGTTTCTAAAAAGAAAGTTTTTTCTTGTTTTCAAAAAGTAAATAAACATTGTTTTTGTCTCTTTTTTGTGTTTCGAAAATTATTGTCCGTGGACTAGAAATAACAAGGAAAAAGAAAAATGTCACAGCGGTCACAGCTTTCAATGTCAATGCGTGATTGTAAGGGTGTTCGTAAGGATATTTTGTATAAAGCACTCAATTCAACGCAATTACTTCGTAAGTATTTTTCGTATTTTTTATTTCTTCTCTCTCATGAAAATTTACTTTTTTTTTTTGCGATGATTCAGTTCACTGAAAAAAAACAACAATAATTTGTTCTCATTTCAAGAAGGAAAATAGTTTGTATTTTTTTTTCGTCTGATTTTTTTTCCAGAGGAAAATGTTAATAGAAACACGCCAATTGAATTGGATAATGTTATGCACACGATGGAAATTGTTAATCAACAATTGTCCCTGGATGAGAAAGGTATTTTTTTCAAATATAATTAATTGATAATAATTTCATTTAATTTTTATATTTAATTGAATTTATATTTTATTAATTAACTCTTTATATTTAATTTTTAAAAGCGATTCGTTTAAAAAAAGCAGATTTAAAAAAGAAAAATTTTTAAATTTAAATTTAATTTAAAAAATTTTAAATGAAAATTAATATTTAATTAATTAAATTAATTTAATTGAATTAAAATTCTAACTTTTAAATTTAAAAAGAAATTAATTTATGTATTTAATTAAATTAGATTTTTTCTTTTACAGAATCGGCTTTTTTTAATTAAATTTAATTTATATATTTAATTTTTATTTATTTATTTATTTATATTTTAATTTATTTTTAAGGACCTTATTTATTTATTTATAATACATATTTCGGTAATTAATTTTATCTATTTAATTAACTAATTTTAGTAATTTTAATTATTAAAAATTAAGGAAAATGTTTTTTCTTTTACCGAATTTTCTTCTTTTGAAATGAAAATTTTAATTAAAAATTCTTAAAATTTGTTTTCCTCTAGTTGAAAATCAAGATGAAGTCGTTTTGGATTCTGAAGTAATGAGATCGTCATCGAGTGTAATTCGACAATGCACAAATTCACTGAGAAAAGACTTTAATTCATACAACGTCAATGAATATGCGGAATTTTTTGTAAATATAATTTTTATTGTTTTTCGTTAATTCAATTTTTCTTTTTCTTTTTCATTTTTTTTAAGTTTATTTTTGCCAAAGAGAAAAAAATATTGAAAATATTCAATAGAAATATTTTTCACGCAAGGATTCAATTATTTTTTGAAATTTATAAAAAGTTTTTCAAAAGAATATTCAATTATTTTCTAAAAATTCTTAAAAATTCTTTGAAAAAATTCAATTATTTTCTAAAATTCTAATAAATTCTTCGAAGCAGTTCAATTATTTTTATAAATAATAAAATCCTTCTCAGGAATTCTCAGGATTTAATAATTTTTTGAAATTTTTAAAAAGTTTTTCAAAAGAATTCAATTATTTTCTAAAATTATTAAAAATTCTTTTATAAATTTTCAAAAATTCAATTATTTTCAAATTCTGTGATAAAATTCTTTGCAAAAATTCAATTATTTTTAATAATAATAAAATCTTTTCAGGAATTCAATTATTTTAATAAATAATAAAATTCTTCGAAAAAATTCAATAATTTCCAAATTCTGTGATAAAATTCTTTTCAAAAATTCAATTATTTCTAAAAATAATAAAATCTTCTCAAGAATTCTATTTTTTTCCAATGTTTAATAAAATTCTTCGAAAAATTTCAATTATTTTCTAAAATTCTTAAAATTTCTTTTAAAAAATTCAATTATTTTTACAAATAATAAAATTGTTTCCAAGAATTCAATTTTTTCGAATTTTTAATAACATTTTTCAAAAATTCTAATAAATTCTTCGAAACAGTTCAATTATTTTCAAATTTTGTGATAAAATATTTTGCAAAAATTCAATTATTTTTAATAATAATAAAATCTTTTCAGGAATTCAATTATTTTAATAAATAATAAAATTCTTCGAAAAAATTCAATAATTTCCAAATTCTGTGATAAAATTCTTTTCAAAAATTCAATTATTCCTAAAAATAATAAAATCTTCTCAAGAATTCTATTTTTTTCCAATGTTTAATAAAATTCTTCGAAAAATTTCAATTATTTTCTAAAATTCTTAAAAATTCTTTTAAAAAATTCAATTATTTTTACAAATAATAAAATTCTTTCCAAGAATTCAATTTTTTCGAATTTTTAATAACATTTTTCAAAAATTCTAATAAATTCCTCGAAACAGTTCAATTATTTTCAAATTCTGTGATAAAATACTTTGCAAAAATTCAATTATTTTAATAAATATTATAAAATTATTCTCAGAAATTCAATTATTTTCAAAGTCTTTAATAAAATTCTTTGCAAAAATTCAATTATTTTACTGATAAATAAAAACATTCTTCGAAAAAATTCAATTATTTTTAAAAATTATAAAATCTTCTCAAGAATTCTATTTTTTTCAATTTTTAATAAAATTTTTCGAAAGAATTCAATTATTTTCTAAAATTCCGATAAATTCTTGGAAACAATTCAATTATTTTAATAAATAATAAAATTATTCGAAAAATTCAATTATTTTTATAAATAATAAAATTCTTCTCAATAAATTTAATTATTTTCAATTCTTTTCTTTTTTTAATTCTATTTTTTTCTTGCAAAAAAAATAAAAATGAAAATTTTTAAAGAAATATTTTTTTCACGAAAAGATTTAATTATTTTTTGAAATTTTTAATAAAATTTTTCAAAAGAATTCAATTATTTTATAAAATTTTAACAAATTCTTCTCAGTAATTGAATTATTTTCATAAATTATTAAATTTTTCTCAGGAATTCAATTATTTTAATAAACAATAAAATTCTTCGAAAAAATTCAATTATTTTCAAATTCTTTTCATTTTTTAATTCTTTTTTTCTCGCAAAAAAAAAAAATTGAAAATATTCAAAGAAATATTTTTTCTTTTCTTCAATTATTTTCAATTAAAATTTTAATAAATTCTTCTCAGGAATTGAATTATTTTTATAAATTAATAAAATTCCTCGAAAAAATGCAATTATTTTCAAATTCCGTGATAAAATTCTTTGCAAAAATTCAATTATTTTCCTAATAAATAAAAACATTCTTCGAATGAATTCAATTATTGAAAAAAATGTTGAAAAAATTCTTGAAATGAATTCAATTATTTTCAAATGTTTTTATAAATACTTTACAAGAATTTAATGATTTTGAGTACATCGACAATTTAATTATTTCTGAAAATAATTGAATTTCTGAATAGAATTTTATTTAAAATTTGTTAAATAATTGAATCACATCGAATAAATTATTTCTACAAATAATCAAATTTTTGTAAAATTTAAAAAAATATGTGAATTTTTGAAAAGAATTTTATTAAGATTGTATTTAAAATAATTGAATTCCTTGGGAAAAATTTAACTGTTTATAGATCTAATTGAATTTTTACGAAGAATTTAAAAATAATTTAATTTTCCCTAGAATTCAATGAAAATTGTATTTAAAAGAATTGAATTTGATCAAAAATTCCATTATTTTCTGAAAATAATTGAATTCCTCATAAAATTCAATTACTATCAAAATTATTTTCAAATTCTGTGATAAAATTCTTTGCAAAAAATCAATTATTTTTAAAAATAATAAAATCTTCTTAAGAATTCAATTTTTTTAAAATTTTTTTCAATCTTTAATAAAATTTTTCAATTATTTTCTAAAATTCTAATAAATTTTTCGAAAAAATTCAATTATTTTGATAAATAATAAAATTCTTTTCGAGAATTCAATTATTTGCATATAAATAATAAAATTCATCGAAGCAATTCAATTATTTTCAAACATTTTTTAAAAAAAATTCTCTACAAAAATTTAATTATTTTCCTAATGAAGAATAAAATATTTCTAAGAAATATAATTATGTTTTACAGAAAAAAGAAAAAGAATTTATGAAAAAATAGAAATAAATAATATTTTTTTTTACTTAAAATAATGAATTATTAATTAAAATATTTATTTATTTATGAATAATTTCATTAGTTATTATAAATAATTTTGATTTTACAAAAAAAAAAAAAAAAAAAAATTCCTCAGATGGACTATGTGCAAGATCAAATGAATGAATTAACAAGTCAAGGTGAAACGATAATGTGGTCGGCAATTGAATTTGAAATATTGCCATTGTTCAAGAAAACGGCGTTTTTCTCAAATTTATCAGGCGCCTTGGATCCATTGCCAAAAAAGCAAATTCAACGTAAATTGACGCAACAAAAACGCGGACCCCTAGCGCAAGTGAAACGCCCCGAGAAGCAAAAAACAATAAATGAAAATGAAACTGAGGAGGCATCAATGATTGTGCAAAAAATTCGCAAATTAATTGCACAGCATTTTAATGCAAATCAAAGTTCACTCGATTATTTTCAATTAATTCTCAATCCCCTTGATTATGGCAAGACAATTGAGAATATTTTACACGTCGCATTTCTTGTTCGCGATGGATACATTAAATTGTTCAGAGGTAAAGTATTTTTTAATTTTTTTCTTTTCAATTTTTTTTTTCATTTTATTTTTTCTTTGATATTTAATTCGTATTTTATTTGAATTTTATTTTTTTTTTATTTTTAATATTTTTTTTCCAGTATGTATTATTTTTTATATTTTCGTATCTTTTTCAATATTATTTTTCTGTATTTCTTTTTAATACTTTCGTATTTTATTTGAATTTTGTTTTTTTATTTTTCATATTTCTTTTCGTATTTTTTAAAAATATTTTCCTATTTTATTTGAATTTTGTTCTATTTTCAGAATTTTCTTTTGCATCTTTTTTTTAACCATATTTTCCTATTTTATTTGAATTTCATTTTTATTTTCAATATTTTTTTTCGTATCTTTTTTTTAAAAATATTTTCGTATTTTATTTGAATTTTTTTTTTATTTTCAATTTTTTTTCGTGTCTTTTTTTTAATATTTTCGTATTTTATATGAATTTTATTTTTATTTTCAAAATTTTCTTTTGTATCTTTTTTTTAAAAATATTTTCCTATTTTATTTGAATTTTATTTTTATTTTCAATATTTCTTTTCGTATTTGTTTTAATATTTTCCTATTTTATTTGAATTTTGTTTTATTTTCAATATTTTTTTCGTATTTGTTTTAATATTTTCCTATTTTATTTGAATTTTGTTTTATTTTCAATATTTTGTTCGTATTTTACTTTTCAAATATTTTAGTACTTTTTGTTTTATTTTGCTCTTGAATACTTTATTTTTCCCTATTTTCTAAATTTCTATACTTTTTTTCATTTTCAAAGTCGTTTTTCTTTGAAATTTCTAAGTTAAACAATTAAAAAATTGATAATTAATTTTTACAGATGAAAATAATGGATCGTTGCAAGTTATTTTGGCGTCGAAGGAATTATTGTCTCAGGCCAAAAGTTCGGGAAAGAAAAAATCTATACAGAATATTCTTTCATTAACTCACGATCAGTGGCAGGTAAATGGCAATAAATATTTAATTTTCACTAACAAACGTAAAAAAAAAATATTTTTTTAAATAAGTAATTAAATAGATTATCAATTATTCTCTCAATTCAATAAAATCTGTTTATATTACGTTTGCTTTTTTTGTTTCCTAACTTTTTAAATATTTTTTCTTTTTAAATAATTAAAAATCTAAAAATTAATGAATAATAAAAAAAATAAAATAATATTTAAAAATAATTGTATAATAAAATTCTTTGCAAAAAAGTCAATTTTTAAATAATAAAAATCTTCGTAAAAAAATTAAATTATTTTTATATAAATAATAAAATTCTTATCAGGATTTCAGTTATTTTCAATTCCATTTTTAAATTGATTTCTTCAAAAATTTCAATTATTTTTAAAAATCTTGTAAAAATTCTCCGAGAAAATTCAATTATTTCAAAAAAAAAAAATAATAATTGAATTTTTCACATGAGTTCAATTATTTAAAAAACTTTTAATAAAATTCAAATTCAAGAATTAAATTATTTTCATAAATTAATAAAATTTTCGCTCGAATTAAATTATTTTAAATAGAATTTTAATTGAATTCATAGGGAAAATTAAATTATTTTTAAATTCTTCGTAAGAATTCAATTATATCAATAAACAGTTAAATTTTTCCCAAGGAATTCAATTATTTTAAGTACAATTTTAATAAAATTCTTCTAAAAAATTCACATATTTTTTTAAATTTTACAAAAATTTGATTATTTGTAGAAATAATTTTTTCGCTGTGATTCAATTATTTAACAAAATTTTAATAAAATTCTATTCAGGAATTCAATTATTTTCAGAAATAATTAAATTTTTTATTTACTGAAAATCATTGAATTCTTGTTAAGTATTTAGAAAAAAAATTTGATAATAATTGAATTCATTTCAAGAATTTTATCCAAATTTTTTTCAATAATTGAATTTTTTCAAAGAATTTGATTATTTATGAAAATAATTGAATTTTTGCAAAGTTTTTTTATCATTTAAATTGAAAATAATTAAATTTTTTCGAAGAATTTATATTATTTATGAAAATAATTGAATTTCTTAGAAGAATTTTATAATATTTATGAAAATAATTCAATTCCTGAGAGGAATTTATTAAAATTATAGAAAATAATTGAATTCTTTAGAAAAATTTTATTAAAAATTTCAAAAAATAATTGAATCTTTTTGTGAAAAAAATATTTCTTCGAATATTTTCAATTTTTTTTTTCTGGGAGAGAAAGAAATTGAATTAAAAAAAAGAATTAAACATAAATGAATTTTTCGAAGAATTTTATTAATTTAAATGAAAATAATTGAATTCCTGAGAAGAATTTTATTATTTATAAAAATAATTGAATTTCCTGAGAAAAATTTTATTATCGATAAAAATAATTGAATTTTTAAAGAATTTATAAGCATTTTTTTAAATAATTGAATTCCTTCGAAAAATTTTATTAAAAATGTGGAAAAAATTTTATTCTTTGCAAAGAACTTTATTATTTGTAAAAATAATTTAATTCTTGCAAAGAATTTTTTTATTATTTATGAAAATAATTAAATTCTTGCAGAGGATTTTACAAATTCACAAAAATAATTGAATTGTTTTAAAGGTATTTTATTTAAAATTTTTAAAAATAATAATTCTTTAAAAAAAATTTCATTAAAATTTTTATTGAAAATAATTGAATTTATATTAAAATTCTTGAAAATAGTCAAATTTATTTTAAATAAAGTAATAAATCGAATTATTTTGCTTAATCAACTGTTTAAAAAAATAGTTTTTCTTTTGGTTAAGGGCATTTGAACCTTGATGACGTCACACATGCTTTGCACAAAGTGTAACGTCATCAAGGTTCAAATGCCCTTAAAAAAAATAGTTTTTTAATTGTTTGAAAAAATAATTTTTTAATCGACAGATTTGAAGAATAATTTTGTAAACTGATTAAAAATATTATTTTGTTTAATCAACTGTTTAAAGAAATAGTTTTTTTTGGGAAAATATTTGAAAAAATAATTTTTTAATCATCTGATTGACAAAATATTATTTTAAACTGATAAAAAATTTATTTTTTCAAATAATCAAAAATATAAAAATTGTTCTAATAATTAAATTTAAAAAAAAATAGTTAATAGATAATTGAAAAAATAGTTAATAGACAATTAAAAAAATAGTTAATAGATAATTACAAAAATAGTTAATAAATAATTACAAAAATAGTTGATAAATAATTACATAAAAATAATCGTTTAATTATTTCTTTAAAAAAATATTTTTGTATTCAATTGTTAAAAAAAACATGCTTATTCATTCCTTAGACTTAAAAAAAACCTTTTTTTCTTTAATTTTCAGATTCTGTTGAACTTCTACAATATTCAAAGACCAATGATCGCATTCTAAAGCCAAAAGGAAAAAGTTTGCTTCATCTCATTAATTTCATCGCAATTGACAAATTTTCTTCTACAATTTTAAATTACATACCATTAAGTATTAGTTTAAAAGAAACAAAAACAGTATTTATTTTATCAGTGTTAAAACTGTTGTGAAATTTTATCTTCTCTTTTGTTTTTATTTCAAAATGACTTCGTTTTTATTTTTAAAATATATTCAAAGTCTAAAATGTTGAACAGATTTAATTAAAAAGGCAAAAAAAAGTATTAAAAAAAAAATAATAATACAAAACTATTTTCTATAAAATATTATCAAATTATTATTTTAAGTAGAAAAAAAAGCGAAAAACAAAATATGTTTTATTTATATATTAAAAAGAAGAGAACAAAAATTATGTTATAGAAAAAGAAATGTATATTTTAATTAGAAAAAAGAGCCAAACTTTTGTTTTAAGAAAACAAAATATGACAATAATTAAAAATATTTTCTCAACAAAAAAATGATTTCTTTCTGAAATTAGTAAAAAAAAATTCTTGTCGAAAAGAAAATATATTTATAATATTAAATTATAATTACAATAATTATCGTGTTTACATCTGAATATAAATTCTTTTTTTCTATTTGAATTTTTTATAGAACAAAAAAACCGCTTTTCTCCAGTTTGAAAAAAAATTATAATCATAATAATTAATTCTAATAAGAAAAGTAATAATTAATTAATTATAATAATTGACTAATTAATTATAATAAGAATAATAATTAATTAATTAATTAATTATAATGAGAAAAGTAATAATTACTTAATTAATTAAAAAAAATAATAATTAATTAATTATAATAAGAAAAAATTATAATTATAATTAACTGCTTTGGAATTAAATTTCCAAAGAAAAAATAATAAATTTTTGTTTTTAAAAAAATTTTTTTTAGATATTAATTTTAGAGTCCACGTGAATAAACATTAGAAATTTCGACAGTTAAAAATTTCTCAACTCGCATACATTACGCAATAATATATTAAATTATTAAAATTGTTCTATTCAAATTTTAACCCATATAAAAATTAAATTAAATTCTATTTTCAAGTATCTTAAGAAATATTTCGTTTATATTACAATAGAAAAGTATATATTAAATATTAACATTTATTTTAATCTCTTATCGAACTATAATAATTATTATTATTCTTTAATTTTTTTTTCACGTGTAAATATAAAAGAAATAAATTATAATAATTTTTATCGTCTTAAAAAGTTGGTTGGGAAAAAAAAAATTCGTTTACTCTTTTAGGTGTTAAAATTAAAATCACCCGCAAAGGAAAAGAAAATTTTTCTTCATATTTTTACAAATTTTCGGAAAAAATTTATTTTACTAAAAATTTAAATTGAAAGAAACTGAAAAAAAAAAATTAAATTGAAAGAAACTGAAAAAAACTGATAAAAATTAAATTGAAAAAAAAATTTTCAAAAGTATTTGATAAATTATAATGGCGAGAAATTTTAATTTATATTTCTTTGCAATTGTTTGTTGCATTTTTATAAAAACAATCGCAGTTCAAAATGATGTGAGTATAAAAATTATTTTTTGAAAAAAAAATTTAGTTTGCTAGAAAATGATTATTTAAATTCTTCTAATTAAATTTTCGAAATTTTTCAATTAAAAAGAGTTTCAATATTTCAAATTTTTTATAAAAATTTAATGAAAAATAATTGATTTTTTTGAAAAGTGTTTTATAAAAAATTTTTGAAAATCAACTTTTAAAGAATTTTAATTGCAAAATTTTTGAAAATAATTGATTTCTCAAAAATTTTAATAAAAAATCTTTAAATGTAAATTTCAAAATGATAATTAATGAAAATTAGCTTCTAAAAATTAAATTAAAATATTTTTGAAAAAAATAATTCCCAGAATTTTTGCATTGTAATTTTTTTGAAATTCAATTTTATTTTTTCAATATTTTCAAACACAAATTTCCAAACATTCAAATACATACAGAAAAATAATAAAATTATAATTTTCAATCAAAATTCTTCAAAAAAATTTTTTTTTTTTAAATTATACAAAAATTCTTTTAAGAAATTCAATTCTTTTCAATAGATTACATTACAATATTTAAATTAATTTAAATTAAGTGTTAATTAATTCATTTTAAAAATTAATAATTCATTTAATTAATTATTTTTTCTAATAATTTAATTATTAAAAAAAATTATTAAATAAAATGTATTAATTACTAATTTTTTTCAAAATTAATTGTAATTAAAAATAATTTAATTATTTATAAGAAATTATTAAATTTATTATTAACTAATATTAAACAGATTATTAATTATTTATTAAATTAATTAATTCACAAATTATTTATTAATTAATTTATCCTTTTTTTAAATAATTACTTTAATTAATTACTTATAAATTAATTAAATTAATTAATCCACAAATTATTTTTTTAATTAATTTATCTTTTTTTATTAATTACTTTAATTAATATGAATTTTTTAAAATTATTTTATTTATACTTATCAATAGATAGTAAATTAAAATGAATTAAATTGGCATCAATTTCTTAATTAATTTTACTTATTTTTAATTAATTGTTTTGTTTAATTACTATTAGTCTGAGGTTTATATTTAATTTCCGGTAATTTGAAAAATGCGCTATTTTTTGTTTTTTAACAACTACCCAACCTTGAATGAAATTTTTAAAAATTTTTTAAGCAATTTCCCAACCTTGTTGAATCAATTTTTGAAAATTTCAATTATCAAGGTTGGGAAGTTAAGAAAAAAAAGTGACGCTTTTGTCAAATTCTTTAATATTAAGGCTCATTCATAAACTACATAAATTGCAAAAGAAAAAAAAAGTTTAAGCTATATACACTGTAAAAAAATCTGCTGTAAATTTACTATGTCCGACGTTGGAAAGTTTGGTCACTATGTCCGACGTGGTATTTTTACACGCCGACTGTAATCTACATAACCTGCAAATATTTTTTGAAATAATATTTTCAGTCGTAACTTTTTGTATTTATGAAATATAGCCCAAAACTTTTTGTTATATTATTATTTACTTATAAATTAGCATATACTTTCTATAAATGTACATTATATACACTTTTTTAGAGTTATTTATAAAAACTTGAAAATTTTTCGAAAATCTTAAAGGAATAAGAAAATTACATTCGCCATGTAATTGTACAGTTCGTGCGACGTAATATTACATCAAAGTGTAGAAATACACGCAATGTAAAAATACCACGTCGGACATAGTGATCAAATTTTCCTACGTCGGACGTAGTAAATTTACACAAAACTATTAAATTACATAGTCGTATAATGTAAAATTATTAAAAATAGTAAAACTACTTTTGGAACGAAATAAATTTACTACGTACAACCTATAATTTTGATGTGTGAAATTACAAGTTTTGTGTTATTTTACACCAGATTTTTTTACAGTGTACTTCCACAATTTTATTCAGAAATATTATGAAAACAATAGTAAAAATAGTAAATAATATTAATTAATAATAATAAATAAAGGAAAAGTAATAAAATAATAATAATATTAATAATTTTAGGAATCCAGCAGCGATGTCAAAATAGAATGCTCAATATTAGACAATCACGATTTACTGGTACAAGAGAGTATAAAGAGAAATTCCTTTCTACATAAATTACAAGTTTATGGTCCAATTGTTCGTTTCACTGATTTACCATCAAACGATTCAATTTGCGGTGGTCACGTGGTTGTAATTGAAATTTTTGCCACTGATAAAATTATCATTGACGATGATTATAATTCATTGGGTGAGGATATAACATTTATTGTAGCAGCGCCAGTAATAGAGGTTATTGATGAACGAAGAATTAATTTGAGGGGTCGCGATGGTGGTTCACATGAACGGCAAAATGCCTACAATGGAAATCCAAATGGAAATAGAAATGGCAATAATGGCTTGGCTGGAATTCCAGGTGAGATTTGTTACTAGGGGGATTTTGGGATCACTGATTACGAATCCGAAGTCAGTTTCTATAAATTCAAAATGGCGGATCCAATATGGCGGACGAATTTTTAAATTCGTCTAGATTCGGCCGATAATAATTACTCGGGGGTTTTTGGGGTCGCTGATTACGAATTCGAAGTCAGTTTTTCGAAATTCAAAATGGCGGATCCAATATGGCGGACGAATTTTCGAAAATCGTCAAGATTCGGCTGATATTAATTACTCGGGGGTTTTTGGGGTCGCTGATTACGAATCCGACGTTTATTTTCAAAAATTCAAAATATCTCACGACCGTAAAAGAAGTTGAACTTAAAAATAACCATTTTTCTCAAATTTCCAGGCGGTCCCGGCGCATATTTTTACGGAATCGCTAACGATGTTATCAACTTTGACCACCTAACTGTGAGAGTTCAAGGTGGTAATGGCGGACCCGGACAAAATGGCGGCCACGGAATGTCCGGCATCACAGGCACAACATTTGATTTATCGAAGGACAAAATCAAACGCAATGGCGATATTGAAGGTCACGATGTGATTTTACGCCGCATTATTCATCCATCGAATAATGAATTATTCTTGGGCAATGGAACGCAGGAAGTCGTTCTTGGCCTTAAGGGGACAAATGGCGGCGACGGTGGTAATGGCGGTGTCGGTGGGCAAGGGGGATTTCCCGGTGTCTATGCATTTCTCGATTTAAAAATTCAAAATTGCGAGAGAAAGTCAATATTCCGTGAAGTGAGTCCCGGACGTAATGGCCGCGATGGAATAGGTGGAAGGGGTGGGGTGGCTGGCTATCCAGGAAGTGATATTATTCTCGAGCTCTATTTCACTCAAGGCGATGATGTTTTAATTAGAAATAAGGAATATCACGAGCAACAGGAATTATTGGATGGACAAAATGGAATGAATGGAAAGTCAACCAAGGGCGAGAGAAAACCCCATGAGCATCCACATTGGCAAAATTTCCTCTATACAATCGATCGCTTTCATGATTTTCTAAAGACAAATGTTGAAATGAGTAAGAATATTGAAACATTGCATAAAGTTATACCGAATGTTAATCGACTTATTAATAATATTTCATGTATGTTGTCGTTGATTGAGTGATATTTATTTATTTATTAAACTGAATAAATTTTAGACAATTTATTATATCATTAAATTTTGACTAATTAATCATTTTCATAAATTGCTTAAAAGTACTTTCTAGGCGAAGGAGGAAGGGTGGGGGTTTTAAGGTACCTGCTACAATTAGTAGAAAGTATGGCGTTAATGTATAAAATAGGGTAAAGTCCCAAATGCGACACTTAAGCTGCGTTCACACTGACCTTTATGGAACTTTATGAATGACTCCATTAGTATTATACTGATTATAATAACTTGTCTAATAAATAATGTTTAGTGTAAAAACTAATTTTTATTATAACTATAATAAAAAAAACTAATAACTAATTATTATTAATAATAATTAGTATAATTAACTTGCAATTAGTATACATAGTAATTCGTATATTATAATAACAAATGTTTACTAATTAAATAATTCTTAATAAACAAATATAATAATTTCTAAACCATATGTCTATCATTTAATATCCAAAATGAAAAAAAAAGATTTTTTTTCCTCTTTTTTATTAATTATTAATTAGTAAAATTAATTAATTAATTAATAATTCATTTATTTATTTATTATTATTATTATTATTATTATTATTATTATTATTATTATTATTATTATTAACTTTTTCTCTTACTATCAATTAATTAGAAAGAATAATTTTCGTTAACTAAATATTTCATATTAAAATTAAATAATTAATATTAAAAAAATAAATAAATCAATGAAATAAATAAAATTAATAAACTAAATAATTTTTATTAAAAAAATTACGTTCATGAAATTTTAAGAACAGAATCAAATTTTTTTCAATTCTGACTAAATTAAAAAATGTTTTTGATTATTAACTTAAAAATGTGAATTTAAAAAAAATTTTGATGATAAAGATATATTTTTATAAAAAAATTAAAAAATAAGTTTGGAAAAAAATAGAACAATGAAAAAAATAAAACCTGGGAAAAAATTGAACTTCTGAGTAAAATTGAACCATTTTTGATTAAATTGAATCACTTTGAAGGAAAATTAAACTGTTGAAGAAAGTTGAACCAGGTTGAAATAAAATTCAACTTTTGTTTAAAATTGAACCAACATTGGAAAAAATTGAACTTTTGAGTAAAATTGAACCAATTTTAGAGAAAATTGAACTTTTGAGTAATATTGAATCAATTTTGGGGATAATTGAACCAGTTTGAAATAAAATTGTACGTTGGTAAAAATTCAACATTAAAAAATTGAACCAGATTGAGAAAAATTGAACTTCTGAATAAAATTGAACCACTTCGAAGGAAAATTGAACTTTTGAGGAAAGCTGAACCAGTTTGCAATAAAATCAACTTTTGATTAAAATTGAACAAATATTGGAAAAAATTGAACTTTTGAGAAAAATTGAACTTCTGAGTAAAATTGAACCATTTTGGATTAAATTGAACCACTTCCAAGGAAAATTGAACTTTTGAGGAAAGTTGAACCAGTTTGAAATAAAATTTAACTTTTCATTGAAATTGAACCAATATTGGAAAAAATTGAACCAGTTTGGAAAAAATTGAACTTTTGAGTAAAATTGAACCAATTGTGGAGAAAATTAAACCAGTTTGAAATAAAATTGTACCTTGTTAAAAATTTAACCTTAAAAAATGAATCATATTGAGAAAAATTGAACTTTTGAGTAAAATTGAACCATTCAAGAATTAAATTAAACTACTTCGAAGGAAAATTAAACTTTAGAGGAAATTTGAACCAGTTTGAAATAAAATTTCATGTTGGAAAGAATTGAACTAATTTTAGAGAAAATTGAACAAGTTTTGAAGAAAATTGAACTTTTAAGTAAATTTGAACCAATTTTGAAGAAAATTGATCCAGTTTTTAATAGAATTGGACCTTAAGAAAATAAACCATTTGGAAAAAATTGAACTTCTGAGTAAAATTGAACCATTTTGGAGAAAATTGAACTACTTTAAAGGAAAATTGAACCATTTTGGAGAAAATTGAACTACTTCGAAGAAAAATTGAACCAATTTTGAAGAAAATTGAACTTTTGAGGAAAGTTGAATCAATTTTGAAGAAAAATGAATCAGCTAGAAATAAAATTTAACCTTAAAAAAAATTGAACTAGTTTGAAAAAAAATAAAAGAAAACTGATGAATTTGACGAAATTATTGACAAAAAAATATTTTCCAGTCATTCATTGAAAATATAAAATATTTAAATAGAAACACTACGTGTATTCAAAATTAGGTCATAATTTGACATTGATAACTTTACACTTGGGCAATATTGTTTTTAAAAATAGTAAATATTAAAAAAAGTACAAAATATGCAAAGTGTTATTTAATTTTCTATTTTAGTTTTACTTTATTTAAACAATATTCTTTTAAAGTAGTGATGAAATTAAAAGTTTTGTGAAGCATTGCAACACAATACAATTGTATCAACATGTATAACATACTTAACAATTAAGTAAACTTTATCAAAGAACGAAACATTTTTAAAATATAAATTAAAAGAAAAAAAGTTTTTCTCTCCAATTTTTTCATAATTTATTAATTTTCATCACTCTTTAATTTTGTAGAAAAAAACACATATTTTATTACACCTTTTTGTATCTCTAATTTTTAATTCAGTTTCAAAATTAAATTAGTAAAAAAAAACTACTAATAAAAACTACTAAACTAAAGTTATTAAATGTAAATTTTAAATACTTCAAGTTTTCATTTTAGAAACATGAATCTGAAAAATTTTCCTTTAATTGCTACATTGCTGCCAATAATTTATTGCACATTGTATAGTCAAGAAGAATTGGAAACCACACTGGTAACAAAATTTCTGTACAATTAAATAATTTATTTGTTTGTATTTTTTTTAATAACACTTATAATATTATATTTTATTATATTATTAATATAATTAATATATTTACAATTTACAGTTTACAATTTACAATTTTTAAATTTAATTTAATGATTTCTTTCGACTAATTTTATGCAAATTCTTAATTTAAATAATTAAATTTCTGAGAGAAATTTTTATTATTTTCTCATAGTTAAATTTTATTTTTTCTTTTGTACCTTGACCGATTCTGAAGAAATCAAGTCAAACCCGATTGAAAAATATTAATATTTAAAAAAGTTACAGTGGTTTTTGTAAGTGGGACATTAATGTCCCGCAGGCGTTAAAGGGTAAAAAAAATTTTTTTATAGTTTACTTTTATTTTTTGTTGTATCTTGACCGATTCTGAAGAAATCAAGTCAAACCCGATTGAAAAATATTAATATTTAAAAAAGTTACAGTGGTTTTTCTAAGTGGGACATTAATGTCCCGCAGGCGTTAAAGGGTAAAAAAATTAGTTTTTATAGTTTACTTTTATTTTTTGTTGTATCTTGACCGATTCTGAAGAAATCAAGTCAAACCCGATTGAAAAATATTAATATTTAAAAAAGTTACAGTGGTTTTTGTAAGTGGGACATTAATGTCCCGCAGGCGTTAAAAAATTATTTTTTATAATTTACTTTTATTTTTTGTTGTACCTTGACCGATTCTGAAAAAATCAAGTCAAACCCGATTGAAAAATATTAATATTTAAAAAAGTTACAGTGGTTTTTGAAAGTGGGACATTAATGTCCCGCAGGCGTTAAAAAATTATTTTTTATAGTTTACTTTTATTTTTTGTTGTACCTTGACCGATTCTGAAAAAATCAAGTCAAACCCGATTGAAAAATATTAATATTTAAAAAAGTTACAGTGGTTTTTGAAAGTGGGACATTAATGTCCCGCAGGCGTTAAAAAATTATTTTTTATAGTTTACTTTTATTTTTTGTTGTACCTTGACCGATTCTGAAGAAATCAAGTCAAACCCGATTGAAAAATATTAATATTTAAAAAAGTTACAGCGGTTTTTGTAAGTGGGACATATATGTCCCGTTAAAGGGTTAAACACTTCTGAATTCCTTTTTTTGTCCGCTAGATTTGAATACTTCTATTAAGGCAAATTTGTCTGTAAAGCGAATTCTTTTTCAATGCTAATTCCTTATTTTACAGAAGAGACTGAAGCGGTCAGAAACAAATTTCAGTGAATCAGAAACAATACCTCTACAATATACATGTACACTACGTTATGATACCGATGTAGAGAGACATGAGAGTCTCAAGAGAGGGCACTTCATGAGTAAATTAACAATCGCAGGAAGAAATATTAAATTTAGTGATATACCGAAGAAGGAATTTTGTGTGGGACGTACAATGATCATTGAATTATTAGCAACTGAGTCTATTACTTTCGATCAGGATTTCGATTCACATGGTTTGGATCTAACGCTCGTTGTTGCTGCTTCACAATGGATAATCGGTCGCAATCGAAAGATAATTCTCAGTGGGAAGAATGGAGAAGGTCGTGGATTGCCAAGAAGGAATCCAAACTCAATTCACGGTGTCGATGGTAAGGAAGGATTTCCAGGTGGACCCGGTGGTTATTTCTACGGTTTAGCACATTCCCACAGTTGGCAATCAGAAAATGGCGAAATTATTAATGCCGAAAACAGTTTTCCCCTTTGCTACTTTAACACTGACGACTATATCGAATATTCCGTATGTCCCGACAATTTACCACCTGGAAGAGTAGCTGGCATTGGACAATTACAGAAACCAGCGGAAACTGAATCGAAAATTCGAATCTACGTCAATGGTGGTAATGGTGGAAGGGGACAAAATGGTGGCGATGGGGAGAAAGGCACTGACGGCACAACCTTTGATCTCGATGTGAAGAAAATTGAACGAAATGGATTTGTCCACGGTTTTGATACAATTCTTCATCAGGATGTTGAACCACTTGCTAATGAGACATATTTGGGAAAGGGAATATCAGAGGTTATTGTCGGTGCAATGCCGAAAATTGGTGGACGTGGTGGTAAAGCGGGTCCTGGTGGATTGGGTGGTGATCCAGGTGGTGTTGCCATGATTTCCACAGAGTGGGTTGTTCCATTTTATTATAACGAAACACCATGCAATGAAATTATTGTTTATGGCAATGCTGGTCAGGAGGGTAAAAATGGTGTCTGTGGATTGTCAGGTCTTTCGGAAAATAATGGTTATGATATACAATTAAGTGTCTATTATTCATCGAATAAAACAATTCAATTGAGAAACATTGAATATTATCCACATGAAAATCCTTATACTACTAGAAGTCTGAAAAATTCCGGTGTTTCAATGCGACATAGTAGACCAATAAAATATCGAAGATTCTACCAAGTTTTTGAAGCTGTTGAAAAATATACAAATTTCACTTATGTTAATCTTGCCAATACGAAAAATGGAAGAAAGTTGAGGTTAATTTTTGAAAAATTAGATGCTGCTTATCGATCTGCCAACCGTTTAATCAACGAAGAACTTCACGGAAAATAAACCAGAAACGAATTGATGTAATATTTTATTTTCAAATTCTTTATATAACTATTAGTTCCTATAATAAAAAATATTCTAAACTACAGTTTCATTGTCTTTCAATAAAAACGAATACTCTATCCAAAATTAAACCTACTCTAGAACAATAAATTGAATTCTACAATCATTGCTACTAATTTTTTTTTAAATTAAAGTATCCCAATGTTGGTTCTACTATTCTGATAAAACGAACATCTAAGAATTGCAGTCTGCATTATGTGATACCATGAATCTGCGCTAACATTTGTATCGTTGATATGTGACTTTAGATAAGTTTTAAATAAACTTTCAGTGGTGTCGAATACTTGATATGACATTTGTCGTACAGGTTGTAGTTTTCCAATAATGTATTTACCGTCAATTCCATGTCTACCTTTTTTATAATTATCATGCTCGAATACTGTGTACTTTAAAATTTCAATTTTCTTTGCATCATTAACCAGTAAATACAAAGACACGTCTTTACCAGGCGTTCCATTCGGTCCACTGTGTCCACCAAGACCATCAATTCCATTAGCACCACGAATTCCCAGACGATTCTCGACAAATCTTATCACATCTCTATCGGTACACGTGGAATTATTCAAATCAAACAGAGAGTAGTAACCTGCAATTTTCAAAAATTTGAAATCAAACTTTTTTTTTTTTTTTAAACTAAAATTCTTTTTTACATGATTTTCTTCCTAATATAATTTTTTTCAGGTTGATAAAAGTTGCAAGAGACACATACTACTATACAGAAGGTAAGTATAAAGGGTATTTGTTGAAAAACTGAAAAGACAATTTTCTAAACAATTTTTTAAACCAGAAATTTGAAATCATTTTTCTTAATTGTGGATAAAAATTATTCACCTGGATAACCGCCTATTCCACCAGGAGCGCCATTACCGCCATTACCCCCAATCCTTGCTCTTCTACCAATAACGTCCTCATCGATATAATAAGAAATAGCCGTCTCATTATCATTCTTATAATTATAAATTCTCTCGACATTCTTAACGGTAACTTTGAAACCAGGAACAAAGCCATTTGCCTGAATTCTACTAACATTCAAATTGAATTCCGTTCCACTTTGTCCTCTAGCGCCGTGTCCACCATTTTGTCCATTACCACCACGACCGCCATTATAACGAACAACAAGATTTTCCTTATTAATTATAAAACCCGCAATACCCTGAAATTGTCCACCGGGTCCCCCTGGAAATCCTTCTTTTCCACTACGACCATTTATATTTTTCCTCACATCACCATTGTGGGCATTTAATAATTTTTGTCTTCTTCCATTATAACCATTTAAATTAATGATTCGTCTACCAATAACATGCCATAATGGTGCGGCAACAATAAATACAATACTTTTACCACGAGCATTGAAATTTCTGTCGATTATTATTTTTTCCGTGGCAAATATCTCAACAATCACTATACTTCCATTACAATGATTCTTAAATGGTATCCTCTTGAAATTCACAATATTTCCATGGACTGTTAATTTAAATTTTTTCTCCACCAGACCATTAGTTGGTATTAAATTATTTAAATGGTGACACTTTATATCGACGAGGTGATTATTTTTGTTAAACAATACTTCCTTTCGATGTATGTCATGTATCTGAATAAAAAAATTTTTTTTTTAATTTTACAGTTGACTCAGTTTTTAAAATTCACGATTCGATTAAATTAAATGTGATAATAAATAGAATAACAATAATTAAATCCACTTCTGATGTAAAATTAAAAAAAAAAATAAATAAATAAAAAAAATAAAAAAAAAAAAAAGATTAATAAGAATTATAATAATTAGAATAATAAGCTCTCTTTAAAATTTACGATTCGATTAAATTACGTGTAATAATAAATAGAATAACAATAATTAAATCCACTTCTGATGTAAAATTAAAAAAAAAAAAAAATTTAATAAGAATATTAATAATTAGAATAATAAGCTCTCTTTAAAATTTACGATTCGATTAAATTACGTGTAATAATAAATAGAATAACAATAATTAAATCCACTTCTGATGTAAAATTAAAAAAAAAAAAAATTTAATAAGAATATTAATAATTAGAATAATAAGCTCTCTTTAAAATTTACGATTCGATTAAATTACGTGTAATAATAAATAGAATAACAATAATTAAATCCACTTCTGATGTAAAATTAAAAAAAAAATAAATAAAATAAAAAATAAAAAAAAAAAAAAAGATTAATAAGAATTATAATAATTAGAATAATAAGCTCTCTTTAAAATTTACGATTCGATTAAATTAAGTGTAATAACAAATAGAATAACAATAATTAAATCCACTTCTGATGTAAAATTAAAAAAAAAAAAAAATTTAATAAGAATATTAATAATTAGAATAATAAGCTCTCTTTAAAATTCACGATTCGATTAAATTAAGTGTAATAACAAATAGAATAACAATAATTAAATCCACTTCTAATGTAAAATTAAAAAAAAAAAAAAAAAAAAATTTAATAAGAATATTAATAATTAAAATAATAAGCTCTCTTTAAAATTCACGATTCGATTAAATTAAGTGTAATAACAAATAGAATAACAATAATTAAATCCACTTCTGATGTAAAATTTAAAAAAAAAAAAAAAGATTAATAAGAATTTTAATAATTAGAATAATAAGCTCTCTTTAAAATTCACGATTCGATTAAATTACGTGTAATAACAAATAGAATAACAATAATTAAATCCACTTCTGATGTAAAATTAAAAAAAAAAAAAAAAAAAATTTAATAAGAATATTAATAATTAGAATAATAAGCTCTCTTTAAAATTCACGATTCGATTAAATTACGTGTAATAATAAATAGAATAACAATAATTAAATCCACTTTTGATGTAAAATTAAAAAAAAAAAAAAATTTAATAAGAATATTAATAATTAGAATAATAAGCTCTCTTTAAAATTCACGATTCGATTAAATTAAGTGTAATAACAAATAGAATAACAATAATTAAATCCACTTCTGATGTAAAATTAAAAAAAAAAAAGATTAATAAGAATTATAATAATTATGTATAACAATAATAAAAAAGAATAAAGAAATAAATAAATGAAAGTAATATCTTACCAAATATGGTTTACTCAAATGTGACGCTTCTGATTTATAATTATTATCAACAATTACGAGTGTAAAAAATATCGTCAAGAAAATATAGAAATTTTCCATTTTGTAATTTTTTCCAATATCAAATTTATACTTTTTTCCTTTCTTTTCTTTTTTTTTGTATACTTTCAAAAAAAAAAAAATGTCGATCTTTGTTTTTTTGTAGTTAAAAAAAAAATTTCTTACAATATTTTTAAATTCCTTCAAATTTCCTCCCACTATTTATCCCATTAATTCTAATTATTATTCCCTTTAAACAAATAAAGTTAATTTTAATTTTTCTCTTTCCCACTAAAGACAAGAAAAAATAGAAAAAAAAATTTTATCAACTTCTTATTAAATGTCAATAAAATATTTAACAAAAAAGAAAAATACTAAATAAATACATTTACATATTAGTAACGATAAAAAAAAATTACTGTCAATATTTAATTTATCAAAAAAATGTTTAAATTTCCTATTTCCCAAGTGTTTTTTTTCTCATTACACTTAACATTTATCGAGACAAATGAAAAAGAAATAATTTTTATTTTAATATTGAATTAATATTTTTTTAAATTTGAATTATTATCTATTTTATCTTGGAATCAATTTTTTTCACATTATTTCCTTAAATTTTGATAATTTTAGGACAAAAGTCATCAGAGGTCAAGTTTAAAAAAAATTGGTTTAGGCCAAAAGAGGAATGTAAATAAAATGTACAATTAAATTTTACAAAAGAAAGAAAAAATTACAAACAATTCTAAAATTTAGGTTATAAGCACAGGTCAATTTTTTTCATAAAATTTTACAAAAAAGTAAAAATAGCAAACATAATCCTAAAGATTAGGTAAATTATTTAGGTCAACAAAGGTCAATTTTTTTAAGGTCAAGTTTTAAGCTCAAGATTTAGAGGTGAAGCAGAAAAAATTTTTTAAAAAGATGATATTTCTTAATAGACAAAAATTAAAAATCTTAAAGTTCAGGTCAAAAACGCAGGTCAATTTTTTCAATTGAATCAAAAATCAATTAAACCAATAAAAAATAATTAAATGAGTAATTAAATTAAAAGAAAACAATTCCAAAATTTAGGTCAATTATTTAGGTCTATTATTTATGTCAAAATTACAGGTCATTAAGTTAATATATATATATTCTGTATAATAAAACTTTATAATAAATAAAAAACATAACTTTAATGTTTAGGTCAACTATTTAGGTCAACAAATAGAATAAAAAGGTCAAATATTATTTTAAGGTCAACTTTTAAGCTTATGATTTAGAGGTCAAGAAGAAAAAATTTTAAAAGTAGATTACATTTCATAATAGACAAAAATTAAAAATCTTAAAATTTAGGTCAACTATTTAGGTCAGAATCAAAAATCAATTTTTCAATTGAATAAAAAATCAATTAAAGCGGCAAAAAATAATAAAATGTGTGTTTTTTTATAAAAATGAAAAAATAATAAACATTTTTAAATTTAGGTCAACTATTTAGGTCTGTAATTCAGATCAAAATTATAAATCAACAAGTGAATATGAATAATAAGTACAATGTCTACAATTTTACAAAAAAGTAAAAATAATAAACATAATTCTAATGATTAGGTCAATTACTTAGGTCAACAAATAGATTACCAAGGTCTAATTTTTTTCAAGGTCCAGTTTTAAACTCAAGATTTAGAGGTCAAGAAGAAAAAAATTTTAAAAGTAGATTACATTTTATAATACATAAAAATTAAAAAAATTTAAAATTTAGGTCAAAAGCGCAGGTCAATTTTTTAAATTGAATCAATAATCAATTAAACCAACAAAAAATAATTAAATGTGAAATTAAATTTTACAAAAAAAATATAATTCTAAAATTTAGGTCAATATTTAGGTCAATTTCTAGTTTATGAAACGAATTTATGTCAAATTTTAAGCTCAAATTTATAGGTCTAGAAGAAAACAAAATTGAGAATTAAAAAACATTAAAATTTAGGTCAACTTTTTAGGTCAAAATCTAGGTCATCAATCGGATAACTGTAAAATTTAAAAATTAACAAGAAAACAATGTTTTCATAAAGATAAAAAAAATGTCAATCAAAATTAGTATTTCAAAATTAAAAAAATAATAATAATTTTTAAATTTTAATCTTATAAATTTTATTTTTAATTTTTAAAAATTTTTAACGATTTATTTTTATAAATTTTTGTCGTTCTTTGACCATTAATATTAAAATTTGAAAAAAACGTGAACAAATAGAATGAGTCTACTTTACTATTTCTGTAATTTAATATTCGTGAAATGAAAGTAAATATTTAATATAAAAATTTAAATTATTCTTAAAAAAATTAAAATACTATTTATATTTCATAATCCACTCTTCTTTATTTGATTTACAAATGACACGAGGCAAAAAAAATATTTTTTTTTATTTACTTTTTTTTATTAATTATCTTAATTAAATTTGTATTATACTTTAAATTGCAATTTGAATGAAATTTCTGAGTTTAATTATTTCTTTTTTTCTTTAATTTAAAATTATTTTCCAAGCAAATAGATATAATTATAATAATACCAATAAAATGATTTTAATGATGACAATGAAAATAATTATAATAAATAAAAATAAACATAATAATAACAATAAATAAAAATAAATATAAAAAATAATTAAAAATAAATAATAAAAATAAATTATTATAAATAAAAATAAAAAAAACTTTATTTTAAAAAAATTAAAAATTTTTTTTTTTTTTAATTTTATTTTTTTCTAATAAAAATTTAGAAAAAATAATTTATGACTTAATTTGCTTATCAATTATGTCAATAAGTCAACAACTTTAATTTTATGTAAATAATTTTATATATAATAAAATGTACTGTAAGTTTCAAGTTTTTTGTTATTCATTAATTATATTTCACAAAAAAATCATATTTACACTTCTCTATTTATAAAATTATTTTTTTATAATTTTAACTATTATTAATTAACAATAATGAAATATAAATTAGTAATTAAAAAATAATAATTAGAAATTAAAAATTAGAAATCAAAAATTAAAAATTAAAAATTAATAATAATTTGAAATTCAAAATTCAAAATTTTAAATTCAAAATTAGTTTTTAAAAACTAATAATTAGATATTAGAAAATAAAAATTATAAATTTGTAATTAAAAATTTATAACTGTAAATTAGTAATTAAAAATTAATAATTATAAATAAATAATTAACAATTAATAATGATAAATTAATAATTAACAACTAAAAATTAGAAAATTAACAATTAATAATTAATTAATTAATTAATTTTGACATATGAAATTTTAATTATGTTTGAAAATAATATTTTTAACTAGCTTTTAAATTCTAATTTTTAAAAGAAAATATTACATTTCTATAAAGTTTCAACAATGAAAATCATGAATTTTCTAAAAATCAAAATTATTTTTTCAATTTTATTTTTAATTTCCTCATGTCATTCATCAGAAGGGGGAGAAATATCTCATCAAAAAAATTTGGTAAGTTAATTTTCAATCTCCTAATATTAATATTTTTTGTAAATAAATAGAAATTTTTTAATAACAATTAATTGATATTTATTTCTTTATTTGCATATAATTTATTCTTCAAATTTTTCCACACTAATGTTATATATTATTTTATTATTTATTTTTTAATTTTTATTTATTTTTATTTATTTTTATTTATTTTTATTTATTTTTATTTACTTTCATTTATTATTTTTTTATTGTTTTTTTATTATTTCATTACTTGTTTACAATAATTACTGCGCAACAATTATTTAAAATATTTTTATTTTTTATTTATAACTTTTTGATTTTTATTTACTATTATTTTCACTATTTATTAATAATTTACTATTTTTATTATTTTTATTATTATTGTTATTCAACCTGACTTGGATTGATTGATATATTCTCATATATTGTATTATTTGTATTATTTTTCATATTTATTTAACATTTATTTTCATCATTTTCAAATTAAAAAATTCTTACTCGTAAGGATTCGAACCCCGGACCTACTTGCTAATAATACAGTAACGAGTCCACTTAGCCATTTCACATATTTATATTTTCGATATTTTTCTTTGTTCCTATAGTTATTACAATTATTATTTTACTTATTGTTTTTATAATATTATCACATTTTTTATTTATATTTATAATTTTTTTTAAATACTTAATAATAAAATTAAAACTGTTTTTATTGTTATTATTTTAATTATTTAATATGTATTTTACTATTTGTTAATAGAAAACAATTGGCTAATAGAAAAATAAGGAGCATTAATAGAACATCATTATTACTATTTTTATTATTATGAATATTATTGTTATTATTATTATTATTATTATTATTATTATTATTATTATTATATTATTATTATTATTATTATTATTATTACCTATTATTATTATTTATTTTTTATTATTATTACTATTTTTATTTATACCTATTATTTTATTATTTTTATTTTTTACTTTATTATTTTTACTTAATATTTGTTTTCATTTATTTTCAATATTTTAAAACTGAAAAATATGTTTAGTCCTATAATTATTTTAAATATTTAAAAAAAAAAAATTATTTTAGATAATAATTATTATTTTTTTGTTATTATAAGAACATTTTTTTAATGTTCTTAACGAAAAAATAAAAATTATTATCTAAAATAATTATAGAGGAATTTTTTTTTTTTTTTTTTTTTTTTTTTTTTAATGTTATGAAAAATAGAAATTTTTTTAATTTTTAATTTTTTCAGTTGAAAAAAAAGCGACAGACGAATATCAACAACGATAAAAAAAGATTCATCAATGGTGATATTCAATTAAATTGTACATTATTTTACGATTCATTCGCCGAACGTGAGGAAACAATAAGACGTGGTTATTACACAAGTAAATTAACAATAACCGGAGAAATAATTTACATCAGCGATATACCAAAAGTTGATTATTGTCAGGATTCACGTACAATAGCAATTGAATTATTCGCCACTGAAAAGGTGATATTCGACAAAAATTATAATTCAAATGGTGAAGAAATGACACTGTTTATCGGTGCACCCATATGGATTGTAATTGGTAATAATAGAAAAATAATTCTCAAGGGGAAGAATGGACGAAAACTAACGAAACGCAAGAGGAGAATTAAAAATTCACTAAAAGGCGCTAATGGACATAATGGAGAACCCGGTTCAGCAGGTGGTCATTTTTTTGGTATTGGAAAATATTTCCACTTTCAAAATTCAACGAATAGTCAACTGGAAGATAAAAATAAAACCCATCACTATCCATTTTGCTTTTTGGAAACTAGTGAATATTTAAAGTACTCTCTCTGTGAGGATGAGAATTTTTCGATTGAATTCCACTTGAATGGTGGTAATGGTGGTAGAGGGCAGAACGGTGGTCGTGGTTTAAAGGGCCAAGATGGCACTGTGTTCAATATAAGCGAACAATTCTCCATTCAATCGAATGGCTACGTTCATGATTATGAGACAATTTTAAGAAAATCCATCCCCCCACCCATCGATGAATCTTATTTGAAAAATGGCATTTCGGAAATAATACGCGGCGAAATGGCAACTTTGGGTGGACGTGGTGGGAATGCGGGTCTAGGTGGCGAAGGTGGTAAGGAAGGTGGAATTATTTTAGTCACAACCACAAACACCACCTGCTATTTAACCGACGAAGAACCAATGACCCTACATCGTGGCAATAAGGGTAAAAATGGCAAAAATGGGGAAATTGGTCAAGGTGGTTTAGCCGGCAGTCCGGGTAGCGATGTTCGTCTAAATATATTTTTGGGTAAAACAAACAACACTGAAATACGTAATATTCAATATTTTAAGCATCCATCACCTTATTTAATGAATAAAAATTCGATATCTAATGGTGAGATTCCAATGCGTGAGAGAGAGAAAATTTTTGTCACTAGACTTTATAGTTATACGTCGGGAATGTTTAATTATAGAAATTTTCTTGAAAAAACTATAAGAGAGAATTCTAATCAATTATTGACACAGGAACTATTTTCTAGTATTGATGGTTGTCACGTTCGTACTTGCATGGTTTGTTAGTCTAATAAAGTATAGAAATAAAAATGATTATTCAGCTCTTCAAAATCAGAAATATTAATTTTACCTCGCATTTCATTAAAAAGATAGGTTTTTTGCAGCTGAGCTGATTTATTATTCGACTTGTTTAGATATTCAAAAAGGGTATTTAGAACGGGTACAGTTTCATTTTCGACTGGAAATGAAAGCAGGTTATTGTTATTCAAAATAATTCCCAACGTCGTAATGTATAGTGACACACAGATACAGATGTCTGCTTTTAATTTACTGTTTTGTTTAAAAAAAGTAATTTGTGCCGTTATTTAACACTCTGGTAGGTTACGTTTGTTTACAGTTAACCTCAAAATAAGTATCAAAATAAAAAAATAAAATAATTTTCATTCCGGTTGGCACACCTGTTAGAAAGCCACGTCAGGTCTATCACAATCTCAATAGTTCGTGACTAACGTGTAAGGCTGCTTCTACAACAACTTTTTTTTTCATCGACACGAACAAGATGCACTGTTAAAACCATGCAAAATAGTTGCGAGCGCATCGTTTTCACGCTCATGTCGATGAAAAAAAAAAGTTGTTTGTAGAAGCAGCTTGATAAAAAGACTTGCCACGAACTAATAAGATAATAGGTGGGAATGCCACGTTTACAAAAACGTATACCAACCGAACGGACTGCCATACATGTTACCTGTATCTTACATCATAATCTTACTTTTTGTACTTTTGGTTGTAAGTACGTTGATAATTTCACGTGTGTCAGTAACGAAATAAATAAAGTAATTTAAATAAATAAATAAAGTAATTTTTAATTATTAATTTTCAAAATTATTTGCAGGACAATAGTCCTTTATGTCGAGGTCAAATCTTAATTTAAAGACTATTTTTTTTAAAAAGCTTGAAAAAACATGAACTGGCCTTTATTATTCTTCTTTAGTTAGCGATCGCAGTGACCCAACCCTGAGATTTCTGAACGACAATTGTTTCACCTACCGCGCCCTGCTACGAAACGTTCACTTCACGCCAGTCATTTTTGGAAAAGCAGAAAGTTTATTAAAAATATTGTCAAAAAATGGTAAAAAGAAGAGAGAATTAAATACGAAAATGAAGAACAAAGGAATTTATCACACAGGTAAATTTTTTTAAATAATTTTTCACCTCTTTTTTTTTGTATTGAAAATATTAATTTATTGTTTTTTTTGTCACATAATTTTTGCCACCCAATTCAATTTGTCGAATTAATTTCTCCTGTATTGGACATTGTCTTTCGCTACTGTACCAGGAAAATATATTTTTATAAATTTTCGTCACATTTGTTTCGTGCAGTAATCGACATAAATCACACATTACATTATCATTTGACGTTTGTATTGCATAATATTTTTTCCATCGAAAATATTTCATGTACTCGGAAAGTTTCTTTGTCAGATTCAATAAATAATTTGCTAATTCTTTCGGTGATTCAAAATCCAATGCGTTTATATAGGAATTCGGTGGTGCAAAGTTACTGTAATTCGCTGCACCATAAACAATTGGTACGACATTATATCTGGAAAAAGTTATTAATTTTTAGTACAAAAATATTTTTTTTTCCTTTTGAAAAAGTTAAATTATTAAATAATAAAATTAAAAAAAATAAAATAATAAATATAATGATAATTATTATTATATAATTAATACTCATTTAATAATTATTATATAAATATTAACATTCTTAAAATTAAAAAAAGGAACGTAAAATAAAAAAAAACTCACTGCAGTGCCGTGAAGAATTTCTCAGTAACGTAATCGTGACAGAAAGAATTTTCGAAAGATAAATAGAAAAAGTAATTTGGTTCAACAATATCGGCGAAGCAATTTTGCCTTTTCGAACAAGATTTATCCGTGAATTGACAATTACCAATTTTATCAACTTGAATATACTTTTCCAAATCTTTAACATAATTTTCTCGACCACTTTTTGTATTGCAATTACTTCGAAACCAGATTATCATATTTTCTTTCCTTCTCACTGCCTTCTTGATATTTTCATCATCCTCCATATCTATTATTTATTAATTAAAAATTATTAATAATTATTTTTTTTCGTTTCAGGTAAATCGAGAAAATGGAAAAAAAATTTTTTAGGAAAAAAAATTTCTATTTTCTATTGTTGGATGTATCCATATACATGTGTGGTACACAATTCTCGATGTATTATTATTTTAATAATAATAATAATAATAATAATACACAAAATTGGAGTATTTTTTTAATAATACAAGCAAAATATTATTTAAATAATAGAAAAATATTATTTTCGTAATATAAGAAAGTATTATTTTAATAATATAAAAAAGGGGTTTTTTCTTCATGTCGCTGTATTAAAAAACATGAAAATACATAATAAGTATATGTAATAGTAGTAATTAGTAATAATTAGTAACTAGCAACAACAAACTTCTTACATACTTTTTAAAATAAAATTAGCAATTTTAAAAAAATGGAATTTAAAAATTTTTAATTCAAATTTTAATGAATAATTTTACTTAAATATTACAAAAATCATTGAATTCTAAAAGAATACGTTGCGTTTACAATTATTTTCATAAATAGATGAATTTCAAAAGGTTTTAATTAGAAATTTTTAAAAATTTCAATTTTGAATAAATTTAATTAAAAATTATCGAAAACTAAAATTTTTGCAAAAATTGTAATAATTCAAATTCTTCTTGAAATAAGTTAAATTTGTCAGTATATATTTAATTAATTTTATTAAAAATCATGGATTTGTAGAAAAATTTCAGTTAAAAAGAATTTAAAAAAATTGAATTTTTGAGAAGTTAGAAATAATTGCAGAAATTCAATTATTTTTCAAAAGTAATAAAATTCTTCTTACAAAGTTCAACTATATTCAAAATTAAAAAAGAAAATTCTCGTCAGAATCACAATTATCTTTATAAAAGACAAAATTCTTCTTCAAAATTTAATTATTTTTAAAAATTTACCTCATTTCAATGATTTTCAATATCTACTATTATTTAAATAAATTTCCGAAAAGAATTAAATTATTAAAAAAATTTTTTTAATAAAATTGTACTCAAACCATTTAATTATTTTCATAAATAATAAAAATTTCACAGGAATTCAATACTTAAAAAATTTTTTTATAAATTTCTTCGCAATAATTCAATTAATTTCATAAATAATAAATATTTTTTATGAATTCAATTATTTTCAAAAGTAAAAAATAATTCTTTGCAAGAATTCAATTATTTTCAAAAGTAAAAAAAATACTTCGCAGAAATTCAATTATGTTCAAAAATTGAAAAAAAAACCTATTTAAAATTTCAATTATTTTTATAAATAATAAAATTCTTCTTCAAAATTCAATTCAATTCAAAAAAATTTTAATAAAATTCTTGACTAAATTTCAATTATTTTCAACAATTTTCCTCAATTCAATAATTTTCAATATCTACTATATCTTAATAAAATTTTCCATAAAATTTAAATTATTAAAAATTTTCTTTATGAAATTCTAAGCATACATTTCATTATTTTTCAAAATAATAAAAATTTTACAGGAATTCAATTATTTACAAAATTTTTTTTTCTTAAATTTCTTTCCAATAATTCTATTATTTTCATAAATATTAAATTTTTTTTATAAATTTAAAAAATTTAATAGCATATCTTCCAAAGAATTCAATTATTTTGATAAATATCCAAATTCTTGCCAGAAATTCAATTATTTTCAGGAATTTTAATAAATTTTTTTGCGAAATTCAATTATTCTCAGGAATTTTAATCAAATTCTTTGCAAAATTCAATTATTTTTATAAATATCAATATTCATCGCAAAAATTCAATTATTTTTAATAATTTTAATAAAATTTTTTTGCAAAATAAAAAATTTTTAGAAATTTTTGTAAAAATTCTTTGGTAAAATTCAGTTATTTTTTGATGTATTTTAATAAAATTCTTTGCTAAATTCAATTATTTTCATAAATAGCAATATTCATCACAAGAATTAAATTATTTATAAAATTATTATCAAATTCTACGAGGAAAAAAAAAATTATTTTCAAAATTTTTTAAAAAAATTATCCTAACGATTTTTAAGAATTCAATTATTTTCATGAATAATAAAACTCATCGCAGAATTTCAATTATTTTTAATACAATTTTAATCGAATTCCTCGAAAAATGGAGTTAATTTATAAAATTTTATTACAATTCGTCGAAATAATTCAATTATTTAAAAATTTGTTGAGAAAATTCTTTATGAGAATTTAAATTATAAAAAACATTCAATTTTTCAATAAATTATTTATTTCTATATTATTTGTATTTAAATAATTGAATAAATTTTGAAAAGGTTTCTTCAAATTAAAATATTTAAAAATTTAAATTTTCCATACTTTTAACTGGTAAATTCCCCATGGAAAAATTATAATAATGATTAAATATTTATTTAAAAAAGAAGTTATTGATGTTTTTCGAATAATTTTACAAATTAAAGAAATTCGTAAATAAATATAACAGAACATTTCTTTTGAGTAAAATTTTTTCCTTTATTTTCTAAAAATTTTAAAATTTTCAATTTCATTTTCAATTAAAATTTGCAATTGACAAATATAAATTATAAACATTTCTTTCCTTTATTTAAAAAAAACTTTAAATTCTATTAAAGCAATTCTAATTAAGAAATATTAGACTGTATTATTATTAAATATTATTTAAAATTTGTTTTAAAAAAAATTTTTATCGATTCTAAATTTTTAATTTTTGTATTTCTAATTATTTTCATTTATAAATAATTATTATTTATAAATGGAAATAATTTGAAATACGAAAATAATTATTTATAAATGAAAATAATTAGAAATAGAAAAATTAAAAATTTATAATCGATAAAAAATTTTTTTTTCAACAAATATCAGGAAATAATTAAAATACCTTCATACGTTGTATTCCACTTGACTGGTAAACTCGGTGCAATAATTACTTGACTCGTTCTATTTACAATTGTTGAATAGGGCCAAATAATGTCACTATTAAAATTATAAGTCATTGTTAAATTAAAATAGTCCTTTGAAAAAAATTCAAGTACTTGTCGATTTGCCGGACTTTCCAAACTGACAAATATATAATGTTGAGAGTACGATCTCTTTATTGGTAAATCATTGTATTCTAAATCGTTAATACCATGAAATAATATGGCATCAAATAATTCCTCCCTCACTATATTTCTATTATATGTGAAAAGACATTTTTGCCTCTTATTCTTTGGACAATTTTCCAAATTATTTTCTAAATGAAAATAAAAATTTTTATCACCAAACATTGAATTCCAGAGGAGTATTTTTTTTATCGACGAATCATTAATAATATCAATTATTTGATTTACATTAAATTTTCTCCGTTGATGTAGATAGAAATTTTCTGTTATTAGTTGAAAAAATAATGTTGAATAGTAGATGAAAATTATTGAAATTGTTGCGATGAATACAATTTTCTTCCAGTTCATTTTTTTAAAAAAATTTTTTAATTATTATTTTTTAATTTTTTAATTATTATTTAAAAATTTTTCTTTTATTATTTCCATCTAAATTATTAAATTAGAAATAATTTTATTATTCACATTTTTCTATATGAATAAATTTGATCTCTCTTTTTATCAAAATTTTTTCTTGAAGTCTTCATTTTGTTTCAAGAAGTTGAAAATACTCCATGTCCTTAAAAAAAATACACATTTAATTTTTGTACTTTTTTTTTGAAAAATTTACTTTATAATGAAGATGAAAATTTTTTAAAATGACATCACTTGAAGAATGCGAATTAGATTATTTTACGCAACGTTGTAGAAAATAATGAATGTCTGGTTGGGAAAAAAATTATTTGCAAATGATTCTTTAGATAAAAAAAACTTGTTTTTTAATACTTACTTTGATAAAAATCAATTTTCCATTGTATTAATATATTTTTATTATAAATTTATATATTTTAAGTTTTTTTATATATTTGAATTTTTTTTTCATATATTTGAATTTTTTTCGTATATTTTTTAAAAAATAAAAAATATTTTTGAATTATAGAAAATAATTTTAGTGGAAAAACAAAAAAAGTTTTGTTAATTTATAATTTTTGGTGACATTACTTTTAATATGAAATTTAAAACACAAGTTGCAAGTAACAATGTCACATAGTGAATCACACTTTCAATTTTAATTCCCTGTAACTTGATCCATTGATGATAATTATGAAACAGATTATTCTCAGTTTCCACTCACTTGTTACAACTATTCTTCTGGTAAAAATTAAAAAATATATTTAAATTCATTTCAACTTTTTTTTTTCTTTCTAAATTTCAAATTTTTATTTCATTTCTTATTAAAATAGGTCGTAAATTTTTTTTTGCCATGAGTTTTTAAATTTTTTAAAGAATGTGCAATGCACTATGCAATTGATGCATATAGACAACTCTATGGCAATTACTTTCTAGGTGAGAATCGTACTGCAAGGCCGTTAGGGAACTAGAGAAGGGGAAGAATAATTTTATAACATTTTTCTTTCTTTTACATTCACATAATATATAAATTGCAGTGGGAGAGGAAAATTTAAACCTAGAATCGATAAAAAGGGTCAAGGAATATAACAATTTTTTAATATTTTTAAAAAAAAATTTCTAATCTTTAAAAAATTAAAAAAAATTTTTTTTTATTTTTTAAAAAATTAAAAAATATTTTTTTTAAAAATATTTTTAAAACATAATAAAAGATTATTGATTAATGATATTTTTAAAAATTATTTCAAATTTTTTTTTTATTTCAAATTAATGTTGAAAATTGAGAAATTTTTTTTTTACATTTATAAAAAGAGGAAGAGAAAAAAATAAAACAGAAACTTAACGTATTTACATGAAAAATGTAGGGCTATTATTTACAGAACATTTGACTTAGTTTCTTCATCTCGAGCTTTTCTTTTTCTTTGATGGCATCAGAAAATAATTGCAATTCCTTTTCGATTGCATTCCTCAATAATGGATCTAATTCAACTGCTCGATTTAAATCGTCAGTTGCTTCTTTTTCATTCCATACGGCAATGTGTGCCTTTCCTCTTCTATAAAATGCCTTCACATTTTCTAAAATTTTTAAAATTATGAAATTCGATTATTTTTAATAGGTAGTATTTTTTTGTAATTATTTTTTTGAGAATTTTCAAATCCATTTTTTTACCATTCAATTTTAAGTGAAATTTCAATAATTCGAAAATTCTTTAATTTAATATATATATTGAAAAATAAAAATTTCAAATAATTTAAAAAAAAAAATTAATTTCAAAATTCAATTATTTCTGAAAATTCACGTTATATTGCTTTTAATATTCAATTATTATGTAAAATTTTAACTGAAATTCATTTTTATAAAATGAAAATCAATTTTTATTAGAAAATTCTACTAGAATTGAATAAAAATAAAAATGCAAATAAATAATTTATTCAATAATTTCTTTAAAGGAATTAAATTAAAATTTTACTAAAATTTATTTTATTAAAAAAATTTTATAACAATTTTTCAAAAGTAATTGAAAACTCTGAAGAATTTTTAAAAAATTTTCGAAAAATACTTAAATTTCTGAGAAGAATTTAAATAATAATTATTAATGAAAATAATTGAATTTTGGAAAAGAATTTTTAATAAAATTCCTTTAAAATAATTGATTTTATGGGGAGAATTTTGTTTATCAAGATAATTGAATTCTTTTCCAGAATTAAAAAAAATTTTTTGTAAATAATTAAATGTTTTCGTTGAATTGTATCAAAAAAAAATTTTTCAATAATTAAATTTTTTGATAAATTTTTTAAAAATAGTAAATATTGAAAATCATTGAATTACGAAAAACTTTTGAAAATAATTGAAATTAAAAAGAAATTGCAAAGAATTTTATTTAAATATTTTGAAAATAATTCAATTTTTGACGAAAAATTTTGCAATTTATAAAGATAATTGAATTCTTGATAAGATATTCGACGAATTTTAATAAAATTTTTTAAACGATGAGTTTTATTATTCATGAAAATAATTGAATTCCTAAAAATCGTTACGATAATTTTTTTAAAAAATTTTGAAAATAACTTTTTTTCTTCGAAGAATTGTTTCTACTTTTAAAAATAATTGAATTCTTTCAAAGAATATTGATATTTATAAAAATAATTGAATTTAGCAAATAATTTTATTATTATTTTATAATTTAATTAATTAAAAAAATTAAATTAAATTTAATTTAATTTATTTTTTTTTAATTCTTTTTTATATTTTTTTATTTTTTTTATATTTTTTTTATTATTTTTTTTATTATTATTTTATTTATTAATTCCTAATTGAATTTTACATAAAATTTTATAAAAATTTCTGAAAATATCTGAATTTTGCAACAAAAAAATTTTATTAAAATTCCTAATTAAAAATTCTAATTAAGTTAATTAAAAATTGAAATTTTTTAAAATTGTAAATTGAAACCTTTCGAAATCGATCTACTTATAAAAATTGTAAACGTTACCCTGATAGTAAATAAATTTAAGTAAATAGTAAATGAAAAAAGTAAAAATCATAAAAAAAAAAAAAAATAATAATAATAATAATAATAATAATAATAATAATAATAATAGTTATAATAATAATAATTGAAATTTTAATAATTATTATTATAATTTATAACTATAATTCTAATAATTGTAATAACTTCAAATTATTATTATTTGTTTTATTTTAAAAAAATTACTTGGCTCGTATTTTAAAACCGTTGTGCAATGTTCAATGGCAGCGTAATATTCTTTTTGAAATAATTTGCATTGGGCAAAATTTAGAAGTAAAGGATTTTTCATATTGTTCAATTCAATCCATTCCTCGTCATTTGGTTTTTCTCTGAAATTTTAAAATTAAATTAAGTTACAGATAAAATTAGATAAAATTAAAATTATAAAAATTTTATTATAAAAATTTTTAAAAAAATTATAATGTTTTAAAAAAATTAAAGAAACTTACGCTAACATTAATTGTTCTAAATATGAAATTGCTTTTGCATAAGTCTCAGCGGCTGCCTCGTAATTTTTCCCCTTAAATAAACAATTTCCCTTTTCTCTTAAATCGGGAATTGATTTTAATTTTTCCGCCTCTGTTAATTGCCATGATTCCTTCTCGTAATCACTGGGTGGTATTACGGACGTTAATTCTAGAACAGAAATTATTATTTTTATTTTATTTAAATTGAATTAAAAATTTTGAAAAAAAAAATTCTCAATTGAATTAAAAATTTTAAAGAATTTTAAATTGAATTAAGAATTTTAAAAGAACTTTTAATTGAATTAATTTTTATTTAATTTTAAATTTAAACAAAAATATTCACCAATAGTGAATTCGAGATCCTGGGGATTTTTAATAAGTTCATTTAAATCATCATAACCAATTCCTTCATTTTGTAATGTGACTCCACAGCAATGATGATTACGTTTTCCGGGTTTGCCAACTTCACGTAATGTTTTTGATATAAATGGATATGAGGTGACTAGCTAGAGCAAATTAATAGGAAAAAAAATTAAATTATCTCTTGATTATCTTATGCCTAAAATTTTTTACATTTTTTTTTAATATTGAGTTTAAATTAATTTAAAAATTTAATTATTTATTTAATTTTTTAGGGTTCATTAGTCCTTGGAAATTTTTTTTTTAATATAAATATAAACAATTATAAATTATAATTATAATAAATTTTGCTATTTTGAGAAAGAATATTTAAAGATATTCACACTGCTATGGACACGAAAGGCAGCAACTTCATTGAGAGCCATTTTTTGTACAATTGCTTCCCACACTTCGAGTTTGAATTTCTTTCCCAAAACCAATTCCATAGCATTGCCCATTTTTTTACTATCGTCAATGACTGTCTTCTCATTATTGCACTTTGTCGTTTTAAAATGAAAAACAACCTGTTGAAAAAAATGTAGAAACAATATATATAGTTTTATTTTTAATAATATTGATAATAGTATTTAGAGTTTTTTTACGGTTAAAGATGTTCGTTTATTACAAAAAATTGTATAAATTGCTACAAGTTTCGACTTTTATTAAGTCCTCATCAGGTAATTTTTTAATTAATAATAATTTTTAATCTTAAAACGAACATAAGCAAATCAAAATCACATCTGTAATGAAAATCATGGTGAACACCATGTTAAATATATAGTTTTATTTAATGTTAATATAGATATTTCTAAATTTATACCAAAAAAATTTAAATTTATAAATTAAGTTTTAATTTTTAAGACACTATGATCCGTTTCAAAAAAAATTTTTAAACAACGTGTTTTTTTTCATTCTCTTACTTTTGTTCCAGGAACGAATGGAACTGCTTTGGTTCCAGCGTGAATTATCGTTTTGACAATTTTTCCCGAGTCCTCCATTGTTTGAATAAATATTTTTTTTCTTTTTATCACAATTTTTTACACATATTTAAGAAGCAGACGGAATCTTTGTTTTGACAGGAAACTCCGTGACAGGAAAATATAACCTTTAAATAACTCTCATATCTCTGTAAAGGCAAATGCACAGTGAGCAGCGATGGGAGCGTAACTGCGTACGAGTTGGAGAAGGACTGACTTATAATTGTGTCCTTTTCTATTTCATACATTCGTTAAATTTGAAGAGAAATACACTGTAAAAAATTCTCATGTAAATTTACTACGTCCGACGTAGGAAAAGAAAATCACTACGTCAAGCGTGTAATTTTACAAATGGCTGATCATTTGACATAACCTGCATGTTATTTTACATGCTCAATGTTAAAATGGGTTGCTTCAAATAGCGTTCTGTTCAAAAACATGCCGCATGTAATTTAACTAATGCGTAATCTGTTAAATAATACTAATTGAAAACACTAAAATATATATACTAATAATAAAAACACAAAAAAGGCAAAATGTCGGTGTTGGCAGTTCACTTTATTTTGAGCATGTGCAAGCATCCATATAATATATTTAACTCCGCGCTAAAGGAAAAATACACGCGGCATGTAATCTTACATGCAATACAACGTAAATTTACGTATCCGTGGTAACTTTACATGACCATTGTAAATTCACAGAATAAAGTAAAAAAACAGACGAGTGTAATACAACATGCTGGACATAGTGATCAAATTTTCCTACGTCGGACGTAGTAAATTTACACAAAACTATTAAATTACATAGTCATATAAAGTAAAATTATTAAAAATAGTAAAACTACTTTGAAACTTAGTAAATTTACTACGTCCAGCCTATAATATTGCTGTGTAAAATTACATTCAGTATGTTTTAATACACCAGAATTTTTTACAGTGTAGTCTTATGTTAAGGCCTGAGCAGAATAAAACGGGAAGCGAACGCAAGCATGAGATAGAAAAGGACAGAAGTTGGTCTGTCCTTTTCTATCGCATGCTTACGTTCACGTTATACTTTTTTTATTCTGCGTTAGGCTTCAGTTTTACTGGAAGACGATTCTTATCTTAAGAAAACAGAAATGTTAAAAGTGTAGTCACGATTTCTAGATAATAATTTTATTACTTACTACTATTACCACTATAAAAGCTTCATGAAGAGACGCATATTTTAAAGTCGTGTATGTACTATTTGTTTGCGAAAAAACCGAACTAAGAATCTAAGGGTAAGTAAATTTATATTTTATGACGTTAGTTAAAAACAGATGGCTGCTAAATTTTAAAAATAAATTCAAGAATTTTTCATATTTTTGTCAAGCTTTTAAAAAAAATAGTCTTTAAATTAAGATTTGACCTTGACATAAAGAACTATTCTCCTGCAAATAAATTTGAAAATTAATATTTAAAAATTACTTTATTTCGTTACTGACACGTGAAATTAACAACGTATTTACAACCAAAAGTACGAAATGTAAGAATATTACTTAAAACACAGACAACAGCTTGTTACAGTCCTTTTTGGTTGGCATACGTTTTTGTAAACGTGGCATTTCCACCATTATCGTATTAGTTTGTAAAAATGATTTTTATTACATGTTAGTCACGAACTATTAATATTGTGATAGACATGAGACCTGGCTTTCATTTTTATTATTTTACAGAGTGACCCTTATTTTGTGGTTTAAGATGGAGGCTACAACATTTATTTCGCCTTTAACAAACAATCAATTTTTTTCTGTGTGTCACTACATTACAACGTTGGGAATTATTTTGAATAACAATAACCTGCTTTCAACTCCAGCGGAAAATGATACCGTACCCGTGCTAAATGCCTTCTTTGAATATCTAAACAAGTCAAATAATGAGTCAGTTGCAAAAATCCATCTTTTTAAAGAAATGCGAAGTAAAATTAATGTTTCTGATTACGAAGAGCTAAAAAACTTTGAGAATGTTAACAAATTATATCAGTACATTATTAATATGGGTCTATTTGCCCATTATGGAAATATTGCAGATTATGTAAGTAATATTTACCAGGATAATAACGACAAAAGCTTTTCCAATCAGCAAGAAATTTTGTTTCACGATTTCTCAAACAATCTCACTATTAAGAATATTTGCTCGTTGAGAAAGGAATCCAAAAATCTTAATTCTTTTGCAATTAAAAGAATCTTTGTAGAGTATGTTTTACCTGTTTTTACTGAAATATGGAAAGAAAGGAAAAATTTAAGTGTGCAAAGAAACGATTTGAAAATAGTAAAACGGTTTAAAAGACAAGAATCATCGCCAGAAGACAGTGATATTGATGTTGTAGGATTGGATGAAGACCCACCTAAAGTAGAGGATCCAATAAGAAATTTTCGTCTTGAATTTTTATTAAAACTAAAAGTTAATGGTTTAACAATTTTAAATCAAGAGAAAAATTTATTCTGCAATATAGTAACAAGCATCGCTATTGAGCAAGTACGTGATGGTTTAAATTATCCACTTGAACTCTGGCTTCTAGAAATTACAACTAACGTAACTAATGTCAATCATTTAATTAATTTGAAAGGATCATCATTTTTCGTTAACGACTTTATGTTGGTAACAACGAATCCATCTGGTCAAGTGCCACCAAAAATATGGAAACCATATACACAGTCGGATGAAACAAACGTACTTTATCACATAGTAAGTGAATCACTACACGGTTTTGTCGCTTTGCATGAATTCAATATTCATAATCTATACATACTATTGCCACAAGTTGAATTTACAGTTACGGATGCGAGATATCAGGAAATTGAAAACAAATTGGTTTTAATTGTCGATTTGAAAAGAAATGATTTATCTTCTGATAGATGGAATACTATTATTAATAATATAAAACACAGAAAACTTTCTAATACAAGAAATTCGAGAAGGATGAATGCTATTCAAAGAGCTGCAGAATTGATCTCGTCAAAGGTTCCAATGAAAACGTTTACTGAAGCTGTGAATATGTTAAAGAGTTACATTTTAAATGTAGATGCTATTAATTTTTATTCATTGACATATAATCATTTGGCTCAAAATTATATGCAGCACATGAGGATTATGGACTTTTATTCACCTTGGAAAATTAATAATAGCAAATACATAAATGATGTTCTATATAAATCAAAATTTTATTTTCAACATAACAATGATCAATATTACTGGAAATTGAAGACACTATTTAATTCAAAATCGAGTTCCATTTTTGATTACTATTATAATACATACAAAACAAATTTAAATTATTTACAAAACAAACTTCGATTTGAAGATTTTTATAGAATTAGTTATTTCTTAAACAAAACACAAGTTGGACGTCTGGTATCTGATTTACGAGTTGCACTTTTGAGAGTGGCTCTTAGACAATGTGATGAGGAATTGAATGAAGAGCCAATTGTACTTTATCAGGCTTTTTATGTGACCGATTCTTCTAAGAACATATACCATTATACAGGAATGTCTGTGACTTTAAGATTAAGAGAACCATGCAGTAGAAATCGAAATCTTCTGCTATCAAACGTCTTAAATGATACTAGTAGCACAGGAATAGTAATATTTTACAAAATACACCTGAAAAATCGTCGTGGAGTGGCAGACATTTATCAATTTAGCAGAAGTGAAATCAAATCACATTTTTTATCTATTGATGAAAAATATGAACGAATTGAAAAAGTTAAAGAAACCATTAGGAATCAGAAAGTAATTTTCATGACGGTTAAACCCATCGAAGAAAAGACAAAAGAAGAAAAAATAATCGACATTGTAAAAGAGCTGAATGATATTTATGTAAATGGACAGAAATATTATATTGAGGATTAATAAAAAGCAATTAAATACAATTTTCTTCATGTTTTTCTAATATCCGATTGTATTTGCATTAAATTTGGCTATTAAAAAAGAAATTGCCTGAAATCGACTCTGACGTCACAACTGAAAAGCCTAATTCAACCAAAAAACAGTTCATCTCTCGCCTCGTCGGGCTGACCAACCTTGAAAATGCAAACGCCCCATTACTCGAGTTATAAAAAAGGGACTACATAGTTTATGAACAACCCCTTACTTTCTCTCGAGTTTCAAAACCCATCCCTGCAATTTCCCCCAATAAAATTACCAGATTTATGAACTTGTTGCTATCCAACCTTGGCGCAATAACTCGAACAGACGCCGCGAGGTCTAGACTTCTGCGTGAAATACACCAATCGGACAATTTGATTTACTTATCAGTTGTGTTTCTGTCGTTGTGCGAGAAGGTTAAGTGTTTTTCATCATTTCAAAAAGTGGCGTCCCGGTAAGTTACTCATTGATTTTCCACTAGAAAAAAACTTTAATAACAAAAAAATAATAATACTTTTCTTACTTTATAAAGTGAATACTATTTTATCACAATATTTTAAATTAAAAAATGGTAAAATTTAATCACTATTTTTGCAAAAAAAAATTTGTTTTGTATGCAAACTGATTAATTTTGTTTATGTATTTATTATTCTTTTTCGGTTTAAATACAAGTTGTTTAACATTGAAAATTTCGACAGTAAAGTATTTGGACTTTTTTTTTGTTGCTTGTCATGAAATGAATTTATCGTTGCAGTATTTTAATTACACTGGATACACATTTTTTTTATTTAGGCGGCAATATTTTTTTCGAACGTCGTTTTGGCGGGACGTTAAGATTAATGATTCGCGACCATCATGCGGAGAAATTAATGATGGACTTTTACCATTAAAAAACACTTTTTTCCTCATCTTTAAAAAATAATGCTTTTTTCATTGTCGAAACGAAAAATATAATAAAAAACAACTAAAGTGGGTAATATAATTTTTGTTTTTATAAAAATGAAAATAACTTTTCAGACATTAAAAATAATTTTACAATTGTTCTTAATTTAATTTTTTTTTATTTTCAAAAATTTTTCATTTGATGAAAGCTTCTTTATTTAATAATAATTTTTTTATTTAATAAAATTTTTTTTAATTCATTAAAAATTGTTTCATTTAATAAAATTCATTTTAATTCAATAAAAAAAATTTTATTTGATTAAAAAATTGTGGAATGAAACTAATTTCGTTAAAATTTTTCTTATTTGAATCGAAAAAATAATCAATTTAACATTTTTTTTAATAAAAAAGGTAATTCGAGTAATGAATTAACTACGTTTAATAATTTTTCATTTAATTCATAATTTTATTGAACTTGAAAATTGTTTTATTAATTGACGAATTTATCACTTCAAAATATATAAAGTTTTATTTTTATTGGAAAATATAATTTAAAGTTTTTTTTAATTAAAAATAAATTTATGTCGGAAAATTTAGCAAATTAAAAAATTTATAGTTATAGATATTTAAAAATTTAGTAAATTAAAAATTTTTAATATTTATAAGTTTCAAAATTGAATATTTAAAAATTTAATAAATATAAGAAATTACTATTTTAAAATTTAGTAAATTTAGTTTAAATTTATTTTTATAAAAGCTAAATTTTTAATTACAAAATGTTTATGTTTGAAAATTTATCAAATTAACAAATTTGTATATTTGAAAATTTAGTAAATTTAAAAATTTAAACATTTCAAAAATTGAGATTTATAAAAATTAAGTTTTATAAAAACTAAATTTTCACATAAAAAATGTTTATGTTTGAAAATTAAGCAAATTAAAATATTTATACATATATTTGTAAATTTAATTAATTAAAAAGTCTATCATTTGAAAATGTAGTAAATTTAAAAATTGAAACATTTCAAAAATTTAGTTTTATAAAAATATATTTGCAAAAATGGTAAATTAAAAATTTTTTCAATTACAAAAATTTATTTAATTATAAATTTCTTTAAAATTATATATTTTTTGTTAAAAAATATTTAAAAAAATTTTTTTTTGCCTTTAGTGCTAAAAAATGGTTAATTAAAGCAAAAAAGAAAAATTGTCAAATGTCAATCACAAAAGGACTGACAATCAAAGTTCTAAAATAACTGTCAAGGTTGAAGTTTAAATTTCCAATAGTTACCACTCTTGGTTTTAAAATATTGATGCGATTGTTTCTTCTATTTTTGTAACACAGCCTCTTCTCTCATCTCTTAAGTGTATTTTTTTTTTTAATGTAATTTGCAGAAAAAAATAAAGGTCGTCATAACAACACGATTGTGGGTCAATCGTCAACAGATTATAATTATCACAAAAAAGAACTTGATCTACTTTTTTTAATTAAAAAAAAAAAGCTGCTTCTTCTTTGAAAAAAGGGGAGAATTTTTTTTTCATAATCACTTTAGTAAAATTCTCTACCCTCAATTTCTTCATTTACTATATGAATATAGTTTCTTAATTTGACATAAAAAATTTATTTTTGTCCTTTTTTCTATTTTTCAACATTTCACTTGATAATTTGAAATTATCTTTCCATTGATTGGAGAATATGTTCCGCTTCATCCGTCTCGATGAATTTTCTCTCTCTCTCTCTCTACCGCTTGTTCGGTATTTTCCTCCGGTATTATCTTCATTCTCAATTACCTAAGAAATCAAATTCTATGACAAAATATATTGAATGCGAGATACAATTCTCGAGAATTTCTCTATATTCGTGAAAAGAAATTTTAGATAAATTTTTTGACGTTTTCTGTTATTATTTTTTTATATATAAATAATAGGGTAATATCGAATTTTCCAAATATTCACTTTACGCTGGCGAATTTTCGAAGTTAATCGAGTTTCTGACGAGGTGAAAAAAATTTGATTGAAATGAATTTTCATATTGAGGGGAATTTTTATTTTAAGATATAGCTAGCTTGCAAAGATTTATTTTCTTATTACATAATATATTTTTTTTATTAATGTTTAGCCAAATACATCGATATTAGTTTTAATATTAATTTTTTATTATATTTATAATTTCTTATTATTAATTTTCAGAAAGAAATAATTGTTGAAGAACAATTAACAACTAAGACAACTGAGGGTACTTTCCACTATACTACTGAAGATAATTACCTAGAACTCATTGTTCTTTGTAATACAAAATGTGGATACTTACCACTATACTACTGAAGATTTTTTAAAAATATGGTTCATTAAAAAATGTCCATTAGAACAAAAAATGTGGATACTTTCCATTATACTACTGAAGATATTTTTTGAACTACAATACTACTACATTTTAAAGACTTTTAATAAAATTATTTACAAAAATTCAATAATTTTCATAAGTATCAAAATTCATAACAAGAATTCAATTTTTAAAAAAATTTTTTTTTAATTCTCGTCAATAATTTAATTATCTTTATAAATAGGTAGGGAAGTTTTTCTGAAGAATGAAATTATTGTCAAAAATTTTAATAAACTTGTCAAAATTTCAATTATTGAACTAAAATTTAAAATTCTTTGCATGAATTCATTTAAGTTTATTAATTATTATTTAAATTTTTCTCAGGACTTCAAATAATTTTTAAAATTTTTAATAAAATTCTTCAAAAAGTTTTCAATTATTTTTAAAAAATGTTATAAAATTCTTTGATATAATAAATTTCACTAAAATTTAAATTAAAATCCTTAAAAGAAATTAATTATTTTCAAATGTTGTTAATAATATACTTCGTAGAATTTGAATTTTAATAAATATTCAATTATTCAATAAATTATTTATTTTTGTATTTAAGTAATTGAATTCTAGTAGAATTTTCATAAAAAAAAATTGATTTAAAAATGAATTTCGGTTAGAATGTTAGATAATTTAATATTAAAAGCATTACAGCTTGGATTTTTAGAAAAAATTGAATTTTGAAAAGGTTTCAAATTAAAAAATTTTTGGAAATCAAAATTTTTCGTTGTTTTAACTAATAATTGATATACAATTGAATTTAAATTATAAAAATAATTTCGAAAAAGTTAGATTTTAAAACATAAGATTATATTTATAAAGTGTTCTAAGATAAAAAGGGGTACTTACCATTATACTTCTGAAGATATTTTTAAAACTGCAATTTAGTTTAATTTCATAATTTGGAGGTGGGGATACTTACCATTATACTACTGAAGATATTTTTAAAACTAAAGTTTAGTTATTCAATTAAATAAAATTTAAAAAATTTTTCCAAATTCAATTTTTTTCAAAATAAAAAATAATCCGAATGAATGTATATGAATCTGAATAAAAAAAAGAATAAAAGAAATCTACCCCTGCTGAAGAATATTGAATTCTAGTTAAAGAATTGATTGTCATGTTTCAAGAAAAATATTTTTTATTGTTTTTTTTCTCTATTTTTTATTGAACCTACGGATAATAAGTTTAACTGCGAAGTTCGTCTCTCTTCTAATATATATATATATATATATATAAAATTTAATATATATATATATATATATAAAACTAAGGGTTGTCTTTCGTTTAGTTCTCCCTTCTCACCTCCCTCCGCCCCTATCGCCCTTTTTTCTCTCTTTCTTTTTCTTCACTCTCTCCTATACTCAAGATCGTCCATTACTTACTTTATAAGTGAGCTTTTTATCTCACGCTCACTTACGATCGATTTTCTTTAAAGAGTCAGAAAAGAGCTTTCCGTTGCTTTGAAAAAGATTGTCGTTGGATTTCCTTTTAGTCATTTCGAAAATGATTTTTCCAGCCGAGAGCTTAGACTTTACCAGATTCCATCCATTCTAAACGAAAAAAAAGGAAAATAAAAGAGAACACTGTCTTTTACTTTTTATTTCATTTTGTAATTTCTTATTCAATTGAGGGATTCCTTTTTATTGATCTTTCTCGTTTTTTTTTTATTTTTCTATTATTAATTGCATTTTCCAGTAATAATAATGTTAATTTATTGTTTTGATAATGTTAATTTTTTAATTCTCCATTTTGAATTATTTTAAAAATTGACAATCTATTAAAATTCAATGACCTAGAAACTTCCCTACGTGTAACAAATTTTTAATTTTCTAAATTTTGGTAAAAATTAAACTTATTATTTAAATCTCATTGTTTACTGATGATTTGAGAAAGTATTTTTAAAAAATGATATAAATTTTTCAAAATTTATAAATATAATATAAAATAGGAGATTTATAAAGCTTTGTTGTTTCAATAAAGTTAGAGGAGAGCATCGGAGGCTTAAATTGTGTAGATATATATATATATATATATATATATATATATATATATATTGCGATCGCAACTTTCGCTTCATAGAACAATGCTGCATCGGCAATAGCACACATGTTGCATCGACATCAAAGTTCTTTGAACTAAAGTCCAGAGAGAAAGAGAGACGGAGAGAAGGAGTGAACTTGCTAGAGCAATATAAT